TTACTTAATCTTCTCAACCAGCTTCGGGAAGGAGAGTCTGTTATTGTAGGCATTTTATAGATGAAGACATGGAGACACAGAGAGGTTAAGTAACTCCTTCAAAATCATAATATTCTGACCCCAGAGTCCTAAGTCTTGGTGTTTCCTTCCATGGGCAGTATGGTTCCAGATCCACACAGTGAGTTTATCATGTGGTAATGCAGAAGAGAGGGGGAAGAGATAAGGGAATGCTATTGTCCATAAATGCAGATGTGTCTGAAAACCATCCAACAGCAAGTATTCTGCATATAGAGCACAATTATATGTTTTTTCTGTAGATGAGCATTGTGGAAAAGGCAAAGATGAACCAGAATTTTGAACTCAAAGAAAACATAACAGCAAATAATGATATAACTAGGGACTAAATTCTACAATCCAAGCCAATCCTGTCTAATGTAGTAGTCACCAGTCTCATGTGGTTATTTGCATTAAAATGAAATAAAATTAAACATTCCATTCTTCAGTTGCACTAACCACATTTGGTATTTAGTACTCACATGTGGCTAGTGGCTACCATACTGGATAGCATAAATGTAGAAGAGATGGTTCTTTCAGAGAGCACTGGTCCTACCTGTAAATGCCAGAAATGATGCAAGCAAAGAGTGTTGAAGACTGGAGTAATGATGGAAGCCTTCCTGTAGCAGGTGATGTGTAGGCTTGCTGTCAAGTATAAGGAATAAGGGCAGCACCTCAGAAAAAGCAGATGTATAAGACTGTTGAGTAGAGGAATGAGTTGAGGGTTGAGTTGTTGATGAGTAGATGGAGGGGAAGATGTCCAGCATGGGGTTTGATAAGGAGAAACATCTGAGGGGTGTTTGTTGGGTTATTCAAACAGTTTCTGAAATAGTTCGGATGTAATCATCTTTCTCTATGCCTGTATTAGGCTTATGCCCTAGTGAAATGCTGATGGTGTTCATTATTATTCCATTGTTTGTGCTGATGTTTTTGTTGGGGTCGCTCCAGTTTGTTGAGTGTTCACTCTGCACCTGCCAAAAACTTCTCTCTGCCCGATCCCAAACCAGCAGGCCATCCTGTCTCCCAAAATGAGACAGAAACACCTGTGGACGACTATTCCTGGAATCTCAACTGCCAAATGGGAGAACGGAGGAACTGGGGGTCAGTGAAGCAGTGATAGGGCTGTGCGTGGTCTGAGAGTAGGACAGCTCCAGAAGGTGGGCCAGCAGAGACCATGACTTCTGGGCGGGCTCAAAGAGTCTCAATGTCTTTCCCAGGGACCATGTCCTCCCTTAATTAGTGGGTGATCCATGAGTGTGTACAAATGTTTTTTCAAGGGTCGGGAGTCTCCATTATCACCTTCATGTGCCATTGTCAGCTGTGTACAATCTTGAGCATATCACTTCTCTTTTGCTTCTCCCTTCCAACCTACCAACTAAGAGGATCGGGCCCAAGGAATACCAGCGTGGCTTCCAGTTCTGATATGCAGAAGCTTTGTGATTTCTGAAGTTTTCTGTTCCTTCTTTAGACTGTCTAAGGCTTTTCCCTGAACGGGATTTGAAGGACATACATCTCCTAGAAATGGACACGTTTCCCCCTAAACTTTTAGAAGTTCTAAACCCTTTTATAGTGAAGAAAGATGCAGAGGCGACTTATTTCTGGAAGGAAACTGCTTATGGGTTTGCAGAAGCTGTGGCAGCATACTTCCCTGAGGCAAATCAGACTTTCTGGCACATTCTTTCCAAATGTCACAATTCAACAGAAAAACACCTTTTCCCCAGGAAGTTGGAGCAGCAGCTGGAACTGCTTATTTGTTGAAATCATGCAAACTCCAGAGCTGGGGGGTAGGTTGGGCAGTATGAGATTTTAATATACATTTAGCAGAAGTTAATGAAGAAGTCCACAGCTTAGGGGCAGCCAGTGATGTTTCTGTTAATGTTATTAAATATTAATGAGGTGCTTTTTCTCTTTAGGGCTAAACAGCATGCCTGATGCACCTTTTTAAATTACTGCATCCCTAACAGGTAGCAGAGCTGAACAGAACTGCTTAACATGGTTACATTTAGGAAGGAGCATTAAGACATTTCTCTTCTTCCCAAAGCTGTTTAGGAGGGCACCCTTCCTTCAAAGGTTACTAATATTTCTTAGGGTTAGCAGAACATTCAATAGATTTAGCTCATAGAGCAACTGGGGAATTTTCTAGAAGCAATGCAGATACACCACAGCCCAAACATGTCTACAGATAAGCAATGTTTAGAAATCAGATATTCAGTGCTGTGCTGGTAAATATTTAACTACTGGCTCTCTTAGAACAAATAAATAAATAAGCCTTCATTAGTAGCATTTGCTGATTGTTATAAGTATCCCCAAATGTGGCTGATTTTGAGATACCAATGTAACATTAGTGAATACAGAGATGTCCAGTAGCACATTATATAGTATTTCTACCACACAGACACATAAATGGAAATAACCTCAGGAGCATAGGTAAAATAATAATACATAATGTTTTATATATAACAATATTTTTATAATAATAAATGTAGCAAAATCATGAGGCATCTGTGTGTTCGTTACCTTTCAAATATAATTTATTTAAAATTTGAAATAACTTTTAAGTTGTTTTTTTTTTAAGATTTTAGTTATTATTTGAGAGAGAGAGAGTGAGAAACAGCATGAGAGGGGAGAGGGTCAGAGGGAGAAGCAGGCTCACTGCTGAGCCGGGAGCCCCGTATGGGACGTGGTTCTAGGACTCCAGGATCATGACCTGAGCCTTTGGCACACACTTAAACAACTGAGTCACCCAGGCGCACCCCTCCGCCACCATTTCTAAAAAATATTTTATTTATTTACTTATTTGAGAGAGAGAGAGAGAGAGAGAGAGCGAGAAACAGCATGAGAGGGGAGAGGGTCAGAGTGAAGTAACTTAAGTTTTGATACTGGCTGTGTTTAACAACCATTAATGAGCTTGCAAAATTCCTGAACTTTTAAGTCCATTCTCATGAGCAGTTACAAGCTGCTACAAAGTCCCCAGTGAACTTGCCAGTTGGGAGATCTCTAATCATTGATCAGGAGGCATGGCAAAATATTTGCTTGACAGACATCTCCCTTTCTCCTTTTCTTCCAGTTTCATATAAACATGCCATATCTTGAGATACAGTCTTGAGATTAATGGTCTTACGTGCTACCTATCTAGCCCAGGCCTCTGTAGCAAACTTGGGATGCTTTCTGTGGTCCACACTGGAAGGTCAACTATGGGCTCACATCTGCCTGCAGAGATAGACCCAAATGCAGAGGCATAATTAGTGTGATTACTTTTAAGCATAATTGGAGTATTCATTCACTCAGTAAATATTTAGCACCTCAACATCCTAAGTACTGTTCTGAACTCTTACATGGGCAAACAAAATGAACAGAGGTCTCTGTAGATTCAATGTTTCCAACATGCTATGGTCACAAAGATTTTGTCTGGGAAATCAGGGAAGGCCTCATCTGACCTAGATATTGAAGAAGGATACTTAGCAAACTACCAGACACAGACAAAGTAGAGTGCTTCAAGGCCAGAGACTAACACATGCAGAGACAAAGAGGGTTGCAAAGTTGGCCTGGATTGTTCAGGTAGGCATCTGGTGTGGAGGAAGATGGTGAGGAGGTAGAATGTGGTGATGCTGGGAGGACATTTTATATAATCTCATCAGTTAGTTGGTGCTTCCTGTTGGTACCACTTCATACTGTATTACCATGTTCTCCTTTGGTTGGATTTGAGGCATGTTGTATCCCTCTCCCCAAAGACTCGAAGTCCTTGAGGGCAAGGACTATTGCACTTCTTTCCCAGGACAGTGCACATATTGAGTAATAAATAAACATGGACTTGAACTTGTATTCCTATCTCCTTTCCATTCCTACCCTAGTCACACACATAGACCAAAATTTGCCTCCATTTTCATTGGGCTTTAATTAAATCTTGGCTCAAAGAACAGTGGAGGAGAAAAAGAAAGGAGGGGTAGGTCTGGAGAGAGTGATTTTCCTTGCTGTTTTATGTTTCATTAACACTCAGTGGATCAATATTCAAATCCAGGCTGTTCTGCCTGGCCTGTGGGTTTCAGGAAACCCTTGGATGCTTAACTTAGAAGCATGAATTCTCCTGCCAAGTGAAGCCACCCTCACTGACCTCTGGTTGGTTTCAAGAGCAATAATACTTACTTTATTACTTTTTTTCTACTCTGACATTTATGCATCTGGGAGCCTTATGAAACTCCCAAGAAGTAAGGAAACACCATTCGCATTTCAGATGGGGGCCCTCCTCTCTACACTGGTATATTACTTCTTCATTTTGAAATGGGAGGGAAGAAGGGGGAATCATACCTGACTTTCTTTTTTATTATAGTGAGGCTTTTGTGAAAACACAGAAAAGAACCACGATTTTGTGGTGTTCTTATAGGGAAACAGGAGCTGTGTTATATGTATTTGAGACAGTTTGAATGGCTGTTTGTTTTACAGGAATGCAAATGTATATATTTGTTTGAGGAAGAATTTGTAGGAAAAGTTAAAATCTGTGAAATTAATTTTGGAATAACACCTGTGGACTCTTACCCAGAAATGATCTTGACCTTTAAAATCATCTTCTTGGTTGTCATTATCACCTACTTCTGTCAGTAATTCCACTGTGATCCAGCAGATTCTTTTAAGCTTCTAGCATCCCTGATACCCAACTTCAGCCAGTGTACCTGCTATAGGCTATACATCCATACCTTTTTTAAACCTGGAATCTTCATTTGATAATACACTATGTCTTCTGCGCACTGGATTTCCAATGATTGAGGATTATTTCTAAACCTAAAACTCCATTCACAAAGTCTGAATATTTGCTCTTTGCCGGGAATATTTGAAAGAATGCATTGCAGCTTTTTGGATGTAGGGATGTATTTGTGTTTATGTATGTAGGTGGGAGGATGTTTTAGCGTTTATGTGTCTATACCAGTGGGCAATATTCATTTTCTGGACAGTGACTATGGCTATGAGAGACACGGAGAGAGCCAGTGTGTCCCAGCTTTCTGGTACAACCCAGCATCCCCATCAAAGGACTGCAGCCTTGGTCAAAGCTACCTAAACAGCACTGGGTAAGTAAAACACCTAAAGAAACTCTACTCACTATTCTTCTGTTTCCTTAGGTTGCCATTAAAGGTAGCATTTCTGCTGAAGCAAGTTGGAGCGTAGAGAGTTTGTTTACAAGGGGCTTCTGAGGAAGGCTGAGGAGTTCTTTACCTTTTTTTGGAAATATCTGAAGAGATTTCTGACTACTATATTCAGTGCGTTTTTCCATTTGCCTCTGACAGACCATAGCTATGGTTTTGGTCAGGCCTTCTCTTCTGGAAAGAGATGCCACCTTATTTTGGAGGCCCTGAGGGAAATAAATTAATACAAGTGGTAGACACATATTACAGGGCTCTCCAAGGATAGATGAACTAAGTCTCTTCTTGGCTGGTGCTGGAAACTGAAACTAAAAATTCAAAAGTCCCATTCTAGGGCTCCCTGGAATAAGAAGATCAAGCCCCACACTTTCTTTAATGGCCCAATGATGTGTGTGTTTCTCTTCCTGCTCACTTACAGTTACTCAGGTGTTTGAAAAAATATTGCCTTAAAGACTTGTTGTCTTCCCCTCTCCTTTGCCGGAAGAGAGTTGGAAAATGGATTGGTGGTCTGAGACAGCATTTTTCAGATTTTAATGTGCTATGTATGAATCACCCGGTAGTCTTGTTAAAATGCAGCTTCTGATTGGGTAGATCTGGGGTGGGACTGAGATTCCTCATTTCTGAGAAGCTCCAGGAATGTTGTCATTGCTGTCCTGGGACAACTCTTTTGAGTAGCAGAGGATAAAGGTGTTCTGGACTCCGGCCTCAACTCTTTCAATGGGTATTCTGACATTTCACATCGGTTACTCACCATCTCAGTGCTTTTACCTTCTCTGGTTATAAAATATTGGTTGGTAGGTACTGTCTACTCACGTGATGTCTACAGAGGGTTAAAAAAAAAAAAGTGATGGAAGAGATGTACTGAGTGGTGTAAGTTACCAAAAACCAAGAATTTTTAGCTCAATATTTGGTTCTAGGGGACTGTTGCTGGGCCTTGAGCTGGGGTTTAAGCACTTTTAATGTAATTTTATTGTAAGTGTCGGGTTCAGGCGTTGGAGCCATTCACATTACAGATCCAGCAGCATGAACTTAGAGATACAGTATCAGAAAACATAGTGTTATGAACTTTGAGGAAAAGGAATATGATGGGCACAGATGGTCAACTAGGCCACCAAATTACATTTCAACATCTCTTATGATCATGTGACACACTTAGGTATACCCAATTTGAAGTGACTTAGGCTTAACTCCAAATAAGGTAAAATCCCAAATAGCCAACCAAATAAATCAGGGAGATTAGAAGGAAAGACAGTTTGTATTTTTTCAAAAGACTTACCGCAAACATCTACACATATCTCTAGTTTGCTTAAATGTTGGCTTACATTACAAGTTGTCGACCAGCTGGCCAATTGAGGTTGAAGAGGAGAGTAGAGGATATCCAGTTCACTTTAGAATAGGTTGCCCACCAAAATACCTGCCAGAAGTAAATATTAAATATCTTGTAAATGACTAGAAGTCAGCAAAAAAGTGTACGTTGATCACAGAAGTTTGATGGTGTAGTGTAGTACTGACCAAAAGAACTATAATATGAGCCACGGATGTAATTTAAAATTTTCTAGTAGCTACATTAAAAAAAAATTTAAAGGCAAAGTTGATTTTAATAGTATATTTTCTTTAACCTAATATGTCCAAGATAGTATCATTTCAACATGCAAGACTAACCACATTTTAAGTGCTCAGTAGCCACAGGTAGAAAGTGGTTAGTGTATTGGACAGCACAGCTCTAGATCCATTATGAGTTCAGCAGACAATTAAAAATAATGTGTATCTACAAGGGGATATGTTGTAATTCTATCTGAGGCAGTTAATACACACAACATTTGCTTAACATCCTCCTGAGATCTCTGGATGGAGATGTAGGGCTGGTAGTTCAGCAGTGTTTGGGGGTGGGAAGTGGAGAAAGGACCAGAAAGAATATCAGGTATAGTGGAAGATAAATGTCATTCATAAAAGATTTTGTTTTGTCTGCCTTCAACTGAAGGGCTATCAGAAGAAGGCAACGTGGATGGTTGGGTTAATTACTTCTGACATATAGGGTCAAAGAAGACGGGATATGATGATGGTGGTGGTGCATTTATATTATGCGGGTTTACCAGAAGGTTGATTGCATGCCGCCTTATAGATAGTGGAAATAATGTCCGTCCTACAGGTCAGGATGGTGGACAAGCCATTGGCTCAACTTCCCATGCTCAGATCAGTGGTCAAGTGACGTGACATGTCATCACTATGCACAAAGAGGCCCTTGTCCTAAAAAGCCACAGTGCTTTGTGGGGAGGTTTCCCATGCTAATAACTTCTCTGAGCTAATTTCCCCTCAGCAACATGCTTCCGATCTGCCATTTTTGTCAAGTGGGAAGTGAAATATTAGCAAGGAGAGAAAAGATGCTATAAAATAGCCCAGTGGCTCTGGAGCCAGGACTAGTATGTACGAAAGGATGGGTTGATGTCCTGGGGGTAGAGGGAAGGCAGGAAGAGGCGTCCTGATGAATCAGAGTGAGGGGTCTGACCTTCTCGCTGCTTGGAGCTACAGAGAGAGCTGGAGACGGCCTTAGGGAAGTACGAACAAGGCCCTCCCTCACAGAAAGGAACACCTGCTTTTCTTGCTCCACTAGTCCAGTGGCTTCGCCTCCTTCCATCGCACATGTGAGTCAGACATTGATTTTTCTTGGCTGGTTTAGACACTGATCTGATCTGTGGCTCACCAGGTAGGATCAATAATAATGTTTAAAGAGCTGCTCTTCCTCAGATGGAGGGATAACAGTTCCTCAGCTTTGTTCGTTGAGACTCAGTTTTTAGGAGCCACTGTGTGAAACATATCTCCCTCTGGTTTTCTTGCACTCTTTTTTCTAACCTGTGCACACGTACACACGCACACATGCACACACATGTACCTCACACCACCGACAACTGTCAATACTCCTCAGGTACCGGCGGATTGTGTCCAACAACTGCACGGATGGGCTGCGGGAGAAGTACACGGCCAAGGCCCAGATGTGTCCCGGAAAAGCCCCTCGTGGCCTCCATGTGGTAACAACCGACGGACGCCTGGTGGCAGAACAGGGGCATAACGCGACCTTCATCATCCTCATGGAGGAGGTTGGTGTTGTCCTGGGTCTCTAAGGTCATAACTCACTGTTCCCAGAGAGGGAAGAAAAAGATCACGTGTCCCCATAAGGCCCAATCCCAGAGTCAATGGTGAGAAGACACAAGGAGTAAAAGAAGGCTTAGATATTCAGGGACCTCGTCCCTTCATCCCACATCATGGATCTAGGCTCCAGGTGGCCCACTTGTCTCTGGGAGATGCGGGTCTGGGTATATTCTTTGAGGTCCTCCCTAAGGGTCTGCTTTGTTGAAGGAATGTTTATCACCAGAGGACCATGTATTCTAAATCTTCCAGAAGAATGGAATTCTTTTTTCTTTTTTTTCTGTTACTCCCAGAGCCTCTTTTGCTTTATTCTAACCCTTAAACCCCCCTGATTAAAAAAGCCCATAGGGCTTTCAAAGGGTCTTGAAAGTATGAGTGTGAGTGTGGGGGAAGATCATTGCCAATCTTTAAACTTATTTGTATAGAGAATGTCACATTAGTTGCTTTTCCATCAGCTAGTTGCTCCATTATTTCACGTTTTTGTGTCTTTTGCAATCGGGGCAGTAAAATCAGCCTGCATTCATTCATTCAAGGATGGAAATAGCTCTGTCTTATGCTTCTTGCTCCCTACATGAGCTATTTCATCTCTTTCCCAAACCAGGGAGTTTTTCAGGCACTCCTTGTTGAGGTGGTGGGGCAAGAAAGCTTGCCTGATTTACAAAGCCCTCTAAATTTGTATGCAAATTGCTCTGTGCTCTTCAGATCTTGGAAAGAGACCAAAGCAAGCCAGTTTTTTTCCCAAATGTGAATACTTTAGAAACCTTTAAAATCTGGCCCATACTGAACAGGATGGTGAAGGTTCCTTATCCTGGGTTGACAGATTCTTGAGCCGTCACCCACACTGGGGGCTTGAATTAAAGGACTTTAAGATTCAGAGGAGGTCATTATCACATTTCCACTAGGGAGTTTCCAGGACCAGCATTATAAAAGCCTTCTCTTGAATGGATGTGAAGAGCCACGATCTTATCCATTTGAATTGCCTCCAGTTCATTTCCACTTCAATTTATATTCATAAACTCAAGGGTAGTCAACATTGTGCAGGGGGCAAGGGAGCACGTATCAATATTTCACTCACATCTGGGTTGCCATGGGTGATGAGGCAGAACATGAAACTGTGATCAGTGCACATTCACTGGACGGGAGGATTGGCTCATAATTCCAAAATGATGTGTATCCCTTTTTATTCCATCAACCCTCTTTGTAAATAGAGAGAGCTGATTCTTCTTTTTTACCTAGGATCCTTGTTTTGTGGTCAGGTTCAATTGCATTTATCCAAAGTCATTGACCTACTATAGTGGGAGGAGGAACAAGGAAGGGTGGAGTTCAATATCACCTCTTAAGCCAAGTATTAGCTTAGGATGGTAAGATGTACTCACCTGAACCCATGCCCTCCTACCACCAGGCAGCAGCCAGGGGGCTCTTGCTCTTCCAAGAAGCAGAGATTGGTGAGCTGTGATGGTGGAAAAGGCTTCAGGGAAGAGGGGTGTAGGCAGGTTTAGGGAAATCCAAGGTCAACAGAGTGCAGATTTAATTTTGACTGGTAAGCAGGATTCATGTCTAGACTGGGAATAACCATCCTATCTCACAGAGTTATTTTGAAAGTGTTGTATAGAGTATGTGTTAAGTGATTAGCATAATGCTTAGAATGTAATAATAAATCTCAAAACATGAAACAATTATAATTATAGCAATGTAATTGAGAGCATCAGTGTTGAAACCAGACTGCCTGTGTTCAAAACTTGTCTCTTCCACTACTAGCTGTGTAACTTGGGTCTACTTACTTAATTTCTTTTTGTCTCCATTTGTAAAATGGGGAAGTAATGCTTTTTGCATTATAAAGTTGTGAGATTAATTACTTGGAACTGGAAAGAAATTTCCTAAGTGTCAGCTGTTACTATTATTGCTATTGTTATGATTTTGACACAGGAGATGAATAATTCAACCAAGTGTGTGAGGAATCCAGGGAATGCCTCAGCCTTCCCACTCCAGAGCTCCCTAGAGGCTTTATGCTATCCCCTAGTGCCCATTCAACCAGCTCAGGCTGCCCAAGCTTGGGTATAACAGGTCCATAGTAGGGATAACAGGTCCATAGTACTGCCCATAGTGCCTGCTAGATATCAGATAAGGGTCTGATTGCTAATTGTGTGGAGGGTGCTTCAGACTCCTCGGAGTGGCTCTGGGTCCACAGAAGGGTGATGCTGAAGACACAGGACCAAGCATCCAATAGGAGTCAGACCTGACCATGTCAACGAGCCCTGGCCAACTGCTGTTCCTCCCGTTCAGGGTGATCTCCAAAGGACAAACATCCAGCTTGACTTTGGGGATGGAATTGCAGTGTCCTATGCTAACTTCAGCCCCATTGAGGATGGCATCAAGCATGTGTACAAGAGTGCAGGAATCTTCCAGGTGACGGCCTATGCGGAGAACAGCCTGGGCTCCGACACTGCTGTCCTCTTCCTACATGTGGTTTGTAAGTAGCCTGAACCATCTCCTTTCTTATGCTCCTTCCAGTTGACAACTCCCGCTGTCCACAGACTTCTAGGATGCAGAGTTGAGACTAGATGTGGCATGACTACTACACCAAGTAATGACCCAAATTGAAAGACTGAGATGTGTGCTCATCCATGTTTCAGTTTTCTGATACTGAAGTAGATTATTTTGCAAGTTGGGATAACATTGCCAACTGAGTCCTTCTTTTCAGTTCCACTGTGTACTGATGGAAGTGTACACAGGCAGATACACATTCAGGTCAAAGTCCCTTCCCTTTGCTTTAGAGACTCATAAAGATCTAGGAAGAAGAAACTCATCTGGTTCACAGTCACAAGTTCATTTTCAAGCTGCTATGAGTGAAGGCAGCCCAAATCAAAGGAAGTTTCTAATCTCTGTTGGAAGACCCAAAGAAGGATTAGAGAGACATGTTTAGATTTTGTAAATGTAGTACTGAACACAAAAAAGAACTTAATTCTTACATACAAGGTTACTGCAAGTTCATTCCTGTTATGAACAATTCTAAAGACTCTCCAATTTTTTTTGTTTTTGTTCTAGAATATATTTCACTGTTATTGACCATTGCTTGGCACAAATCAAAAACAGCTGAAGTTCTAAACTACTTTGTCGGGGATACGTTTTGTGTATCTGCTATCCTGGGACTTAAGTCATGTACACTAGAATTTAAATAGTATGATTTTAGAATGTTGGGTCAAGACATATGCTTATGAGTCTGGTATTGATTTCCTATGCCTTTATCAGTGATATTCATGAGCCTAAAGGATTCCATAGTTATAATTTATATACCTCATGATGTTTTGGGAGTAATATGCTACTTATGGTGAAATGTATATTTAAAAGGGTCTAAGTGAATACAAGGAGTACTTCCAACTCAGTGACGACAAACTCCACTATATAAACAACCCACATTTAAAAGTTTTCTGGAAACCTGTAAACCACCTAGTCTCCTAGCATTTTGATCCTAATTGTATCACAAGGACGGTGAGAGGGGTTGTGCATAAGAGGACACCCAAATTATAGATCAGTTCTGTCGTTAGAGATGCCAGGCTACATGGCCATGAGATAAATTATTTCTTCTGTGGGTCTTCTGAACTCCAACTTTAAAATGGCTTAATTCTAACTGGTACTTTGCCTCATGGGGCTCTTATTACAGCAAATAGGGACTATAAATAAAACACCCAATTATTTACTAATTTATTCAACAAGTGTCTGTTGATATATATATGCACTCTGCAAGGACCTGGGGAAGCAACAATACAGACATGAATGGCCTGGGCCTGGCAGAGTTTGCATTCTGATAGGGGAGGCCAGGTGCTACTAGAACTATGGGCCACACTCCACCACCTCTACTCATTTTGTGTCAGAAACACAAGGTCAAAAACCCAGGCAGGTGGTGTCCCAAGCATTCATAAGCCAGAGTTTAGAATAACAGGATCTCTGTTTGAAATCTGATCATTAGCCTTTGTTAAACGTATAATATTGGTCAAATTTTGTACTCTTTACAAATTTCTGATTCCTCATCTTAGTACTTAAGTTATAAGGAAGCTATGAGAATCAGACTGGATTATATGTATGGCTCGGGGGTCCCCAAGATCACACCGTCACGTTTTTGCTTCTCTAAAAAGACTTATAGGACTCTACACATAATAATACTCAGACTCTGATTTATTACAGGGGAAATAGCAAGATCAACAAAGGGAAAAGGGCCATGGGGCAAAGTCTGGAGGAAACCATTTGTGCTCTCCTCCCCATGGTGTCACACAAGACATGTGTAATTCCTCTAGGAAGGAGTTCCAGGAACATGTGGGGAGGGCTATTTACCAGAGAAATTCCTTAGAGACTCAGTACCCATGTTTTGTTTTGTTTTGCTTTGCTTTTATATTAATTAATTTTTAAATTTAAATTCAACTAGCCAAGTTATAGTACGTCATTAATTTCTGATATAATGTTCAATGATTCATCATTTGAGTATAACACCCAGTGCTCATCATATCACGTGCCTTCTTTAATGCCTATCATCCATTATCCCTTCCCCCTACCCACATCCCTTTTCTTAATCCGCAGTTTATTTCCCCGAGTCAAGAGTCTTGTATCATTTGTCTCTCTCTCTCTCTCTCTCTCTGATTTTTTCCCATTAATTTCCCCTCCCTTCCTCTATGGTCCTCCGCACTATTACTTTTATTCCATATGTGAGTGAAACCATATGATAATTATGTTTTTCTGGTTAACTTATTTCACTTAGCATAGTACCCTCCAGTCCTATCCATTTTGATGTAAATGGTAGATATTCATCCTTTCTGATGGCTGAGTAATATTCCATTGTATATATGAACCACATCTTCTTTATTCATTCATCTGTTGAAGGACATCTCAGTTCCTTCCACAGTTTGGCTATTGTGGACATTGCAGCTAAGAACATTGGGGTGCAGGTGCCCCTTCTGTTCACTACATCTGTGTCTTTGGGGTAAATACCCAGTAGTGCAATTGCTGGGTCATAGGGTACCCATGGTTTGTATTGAGGACTAGTCAAGTAGGCATTCTCTGCCACGTATCTGCCAGAATTCCAGACATCTCAAGGAAAGTACGTATTTAGAGTAAACCATGTTGTTGGCATAAACAGTCTAGGCATAGTGAACCACTCAAAGCCAAGTTTCCAGGTGCTAGCAAGAACTAGTCTTGCATACAAGACTTTCTAAGGATGACAATTTGAGGTCTATGTTAACATTTTCCTGCACAGTGTACGAAATGCCACTTACACCCAGCTTGGCTCATGATGAATGTGGCCTGTTATAGTAATTACTAAATACTACCCACTAACTTTCTGTCTGACACTACTGCTGCATTTAAAAATGAAGACAAAGAGGGGCGCCTGGGTGGCTCAGTGGTTTAAGCCTCTGCCTTTGGCTCAGGTCATGATCTCAGGGTTCTGGGATCGAGTCCCGTATCGGGCTCTCTGCTCGGCAGGGGGCCTGCTTCCTTCGCTCTCTCTGCCTGCCTCTCTGCCTACTTGTGATCTCTCTCTGTCAAAATAAATAAATTCTTTAAAAAAAAAAAAAAATGAAGACAAAGAGAGAAAATTTACTTTCCTCTCTCCCAACCACTTTCCCCACCCATATTCCTAATTCCACCAATAGTGGACCTGCCTGAAGGGTGTAAAGCCCAGTGTATCTTAGTGGCAAAAAATACAATAGCTAGGAACCGATTTATACTGTGGGTTATGTACTTAAAGGAGGAAATGTTCCTTGAAACTTTTATCATGCTCATAATTCCCTCCACATCAATCATGGCTGCATTTACCAGACAGTTATTATAGCGGAAACTGCTCTTGGCCTCACCTTGGGCCATTAGCTAACAAAAGTAGTTGTTAGCCACCCATAATAACCAATCTCACATAGATTATTAGATTTTTATCAAAAAGAGCACTATTTGACAGGGTTTTAGACATTTTCTGTGGTCTCTCTTGAATCCCTTCAGCTTTCTTCTCCCTGGTCTATGGTGTGTTCATCCCTAGGTTGAAGCCTGGAGCTTCTGTCTCAGGTTCTTTGCCCTAAAAAGCTGTTACATGTTGTTGTTCCTTGAGATTCTATTTAGCCAAACACGCTTGTCTTAAAGCTGGAATACATGTGATGTTTGATGGCGTGCCAATTCATGGAAGCCATATCCTTTTGTTTGGCATGAGTCTAGGCAGAAGGAGATCTCGTTTTATCTTTTTGGGCATAGGTCCCTGACAATGTGTGGCTGGACCAAGGCCCCTGAGTGACAGAAAGCTGAGAAGAATTTCCAGGGCCACAAGCCATTAGCAGTATCATCACTTAACTGAGGAAAGGCCCGGGGTTCTGAAGAGCTGGCAGGGGAATGAGCTTCATGTATTTCGAGGAGAGAAATAACAGGAATTTTAACTTTAAGGGTAAAGCACCCTTTTCCCAGTAGGGGAGGAATGAGCTCTGCATCTGGGCACCGAGAAAGACTCCGAGGTGTTCTTGTAAGACACAAAGTTCTCGCCTTCCTGCCAGGACATGGCTGGTCAGGGACTCCTTCCTACTGTCTCATTCTCTTCCCCACAGATCAGCAAAACACAAACAACAAAGAAAGATAAATCACATAAAGTCCTACAAATGAGTAAATAAAGTCACAAAAGGAGCCAGTGTTTACTCATACCTTGTGTTTCATTTTTTTATTGTTTTCACAATCAAATCATAGAGAAATAATTGAGCAGACTTTCTTATTGAAAATAACTAACCCTTCAGCCAATTGTGTTTCTGAAGCAACAAGGTTAAAATGATTTGCTAAAAGAAATTATTTGCTGGGAGAAACCTTCAGGGTCATCTGTCTGTGGTCAGAGAGATGTAGGCACAGATTATTCTCATATGGTAAATACACAGATTCTCGAACTCTTGTTGCTTGTTCTGAAAAATGCAGTGTGGACAGGGCCAAGCTGACCAGGCTGCTCCCTTCACTTAAACATCAGTCTTTGTCCCAACATCTTCTCCCCCAAACATATATTTACCTACAACATAGAGTCAGATGAACTCCCACTGTCTTTGAGGGACTTCCACCCAATGATACACGGAGACAGTGATGGTGGCGATGGTGATGGTAGAAACAGTGACAACCCAAATCTAATGCTATAGTACTTTTAACATCCGCACATCCTAATCATATGTTTTTATTCCTATAAGGAAGGCAGGGGATGCAGTAATGGACTGTGTAGTATCACGGCTCTGGAAGATAGAGGAAAAGATCATACAGCTAAATTTAAACCAGACCAGAAGTGAGAAGAAGCCATCTGTTGTCTTCCCTTTAAACTGAGCTGTCCCCAGAGTGACCCATGATGTAAATAGTGAAGGCTGAGTGTTCGGGAAAATGTCCCACCTGCGTGAAGAACTAGGGGCCCCCAGGCGAAGGAGATGTGTGGACTGCAGTCTTGACCTTTAGCCATGTTCGCACATCAGCGCTATCATAATGGAAACTATGTACTAGCAGCGTGTGAACAGCTAATTAGAATACTTTAATTTGATTTGGTTAAATAGGAGGGATATAAGAAAAGTTAAGAAGGAAGAAGAAAGGAAGGAAAAGAGAGAGAAAAGAAAGGAGGGGGGAAAGGAGAAGGAGAAAACCCCCCAAAGTTGAAAAATAACATCTCCTCTCCATCCCAGAGTGTGACACTGACATGTTAATGTTTCACATCAGCATTCTCTTTCCTCTTCTCATTTTATTTTGGAAGTGAGTTAAATGACAGTCCTCATTTATTATGGGTAGGGTATGTTCATGTATGTTCTCTCCCTACTTGTATCGGTTTTCTGAGGGAAAAGAAGAGAAATTTGGTCACCTTTTTGCAAACAGCTTTTTTTATTCTTTGGGAACATGGCCTTTGTTTCTCCTTTGATTTAGGGAGATACACATTTTCCTTCTTGTAAAACAGCCTTGCCAGCTTCTGAATGACACCCACTGAGTATTGCAGATGACAGGCACAATGGCGGATTGTTGAAGAGGATGGAACCAATTAACAATCAAGGATAATGGAAGAGCCCTCCACACGATGCACTGACCCCACATCACAATACAGGCTAATTGTCAGAAATGAAAGAGACTGCTGTTTATCTTCCTATTTATTGGCTAAGTGTCTAGTCAACTAGCTTTGTCCTTGGATTGGAGGTTCATAAGCATTCATGGTTGGGCACATCAGATGTAAATGAATTTCAGATGTCACTCAAAAAGTCTGAAGCCTGGTTTGAGTTCCCTATTATACAGGGTGATTTGTTTTAAGCACACACACACACACACACACTTCAACATTTGTGAGTTTGTGATCCTTGTTTTATTATAGTTGATGGTAATAAGGGTTAAGATTAAGAATCTGGGGGTGTGATAAACTTTGTTTATTCCAGGAACAGAAACACTGACATTGTTTCCCATGTTCCTCCAGGTCCCGTGGAACATGTTCATCTCCGAGTGCCATTTGTTGCCATAAGAAATAAGGAGGTCAACATCAGTGCAGTTGTGTGGCCCAGTCAACTGGGGACCCTTACCTATTTCTGGTGGTTCGGCAATAGCACGAAGGTTTGGCCCTTTCTGATCTATGTCTGAGTAGATCTGTACTGATTTCTCCTGGGCTCTAGCTGCCATTTTGATGTTGGGGGCACCAGGGATGGGAATAATAGGGAGTACTTAGTGAAGCTATGAATCCACAGAATTGAATACCACATTCGTCTCTATGCTAGGTTCATTATTATAATAGGGAAAGTTCAAACAATCCTAAAGAAGAAAGAGTACCTTGAGAAGCTCCACAAACTTGCTTCCATAATCAATATTTTTTAAAACTTCATTCACCTTATATATATTTTTTTAATCCTGGGCTTTCAACCCACAAGATATATAATGTTAAGGGAGTCACTTAGCATCTCTGGACCCAGCAACTCCATCTGGAAATGTGAATTCTTTCTCTAAATGCAAGGCTATGAAAATCAAAGGGGGTAATTCATATAAAGAACCCTTCTCCAAGACCTACTAGGTGATCTACAAGGCCAAGGTTCATTTAAGGAATGGCAGGAGATGCTGACAAGTCTCTAAGAAGGGAACTCAGAGGGCCAGACTCTGAACTTGTCACGTCCTCCCTACTCCCAGCTACTGGTGACGGTGACACTTGTGTTAACAAATGCGCAAGCTTATATAAAAGGATTTGGAAGCAGTTAGGCTGAGGGTCCCTAAATGTAATGGCTTAATGTTTTTCTCTATTCCTGGTTTTGTCTTTACATTTTCCTTGGCCATTCTTCTTTTTTTTTTTTTTTAATTTTTTATTTCTTTTCAGCGTAACAGTATTCATTGTTTTTGCACCACACCCAGTGCTCCATGCAATACGTGCCCTCCCTAATACCCACCACCTGGTTCCCCCAACCTCCCACCCCCCCGCCCCTTCCAGAGTCCATAGTCTCTCATGGTTCACCTCCCCTTCCAATTTCCCTCAATTCCCTTCTCTTCTCCATCTCCCCTTGTCCTCCATGTTATTTGTTATGCTCCACAAATAAGTGAAACCATATGATAATTGACTCTCTCTGCTTGACTTATTTCACTCAGCATAATCTCTTCCAGTCCCGTCCATGTTGCTACAAAAGTTGGGTATTCATCCTTTCTGATGGAGGCATAATACTCCATAGTGTATACAGACCACATATTCCTTATCCATTCGTCCGTTGAAGGCCATCTTGGTTCCTTCCACAGTTTGGCGACCGTGGCCATTGCTGCTATAAACATTGGGGTACAGATGGCCCTTCTTTTCACTCCATCTGTATCTTTGGGGTAAATACCCAGTAGTGCAATTGCAGGGTCATAGGGAAGCTCTATTCCTTGGCCATTCTTGATGTGATTGTCATTGCTCATCTTAGACTTTTTATCTTTAAAAAATATTTTATTTATTTATTTATTTGAGATTACATGTGGGAGGAGGAACAGAGGGAGGGGGACAAGCAGACTTGGTGCTGAATGTGAAGCCTGACATAGGGCCTAATCTCATGATGCTGAGATCATGACCTGAGCTGAAATCAAGAGTCAGATGATTAACCAACTGAGCCATCCAGAAACCCCATGATCTTTCATTTTTGAAAAATAATTTAAGAAAGATATCATATCAGACTTGGAAATGCTGGACATCTCGAGAAAAAAAGAAATAAATACTCAGTTCTGGTATAGTAATTCCTTTGAAAAAGGAATGAACAATGATGGTTTTGTTTGTTTTGAGATGACTGAAGACTAAAAAGAACTTCAGGCCCTGCATGATAGGAGTGGGAGAAGGTTCACCCCTGCTCTTTCTTAGGGAGGCAATGATATGGTATAAACATGGACCTTGGAGTCACAGAAACACTGCTGGCTTATGTGAGCTTGAGGAAGTCATTTGACCTAAAATTTAATTTGCTCAACACAAACTGGAATGAATAATGCCTTTATCATCTTGACTGTTGTGAAAGCTAAGTGAGATACTATATAACTCCCTGACACACACTAGGTTCTCACTAAATGGATGCTTTTAATTTTGATATAAAACCTGGGAGTTAGGATGGGTTGAAAAAAGAACTACACTTATGGACACAAGGGACCCTTTTTCTATTTGCACTGTTCATGCTGTACACTTTCGAGTCAGTTTCTTAGTATAGGTTACAAAGCTTTTGCATTTCTGGACTTACTGTTCACCAGGACAAGAGATACAGAGGTTGGTTATTAAGATCTCCATTTGGTACGTTAGAGAAGTAAAACTTCCTGTGTGAGATGAGCATCCCAGGTTCAAACATCTGGTTAATTGTAGAGCCAGGTCTCCTAACTCCCTGCTACCATGCTCCACCCCCAGTCCCCGGATGCTTTAGCTGCATCAATCTGTTTGTCTTCTGGAGGTTACAGACCCTAAAATCCTAGTTCAATCACTGGCAGGCATACATGGTGAATGAAAAAGAGAAAATCATTTGGGAAGAGAAATTAGAACTAGAGAAGTTCATTTCTCTGCTGAGAACTTTGGCTGTCCAGCCAGGGAATTCTTTTCTGTTAGTGTCCTTTACCTGGTGATCTTTACTGAGGCTGCTGTGCACAAAAAGGGTAGTTCTTGGCCATTGTCAACACAGTGATTTATTCAGAAACCCCGAGGAGCTAGAGACACAGCATTTTTCTACCGTGCCATTTTTCCCCTTTAATTTTTTTTCCCTTTGAGTATTCTAAGATCTGAATTTTAAGACCCTTCTAGATTAGTATCTTTGAAAATAAACACAGAAGTGGATAAAGGGACTGCAGAGTCAAGTTTCTGCTTCTCTAATGATTATCTGTGTTCATTTGAACAAATCACCTGATCTAAATCTCAGTGTTGTTTTTTTTTTTTCCTGTAGAGCAAGGATACTAATGTTGGATCCATGAACATCACTGAGTTATTATTTCAAATATCTCTCTAGCTTATCTATATTATGCCATATTAAAACAGAAATTTTAAATTACAGAATGGCATTATAGTTTGTTTTTTGGTTTGGTTTGTTTTGCTTTGGTGTGGTGATGAACTGAGCATTCCTTCAGTTAGGAGTTTCCATCTCTAAGCTTGAGCATGAAGTGTTGCTCAAATACCCAGCATAGAGTAGTTTTGAAATAGGATGAATCTGGGTTGCAGTCCAGACTCAGATTCCTTTTTGCATATTCCTTTAATCAAGTCATGTAATTTCTCTGAACCTCGGTTTTGGTCATTATAATGCCAGAATAATAATAGCAGTAACTATTAGTAACTAACAGTAAGCAAATGATAATTAGGAATAATAAATATTAGTAACTTAGATGTGCTTAGAATCTAAGCACTTGAAAATATTAGTCACTGTTGGGCTCATCATTTGTGTCAATGGCATCTACATCTCGATGGTGTGTCTGACTTGGTTCAATAGATTTCTTCCCACCTCTGAGAATGGTCATTTGGTTCAGTGAAGGAGGTATATTTTCAGTGCTCTTTGCCAGCACCATACCAGATACACATTGAGGTGATTTCATTACTCAATAACTGGTCCAATGAGCACCATATTTGGCTGGCAAATTAATGAGTATCTTTGAGTATTTTGGTGAGCTCTCTGATTTTGGAGCTATTTTAGTTCCCTTTGACTAGCAAACTGATCTGTAAAAGGAGCTAATTTGGAGCATTTATTCCTACTTCTGCTTTGTAGAAAGCTCTTCGTACACATTATTTAATTTAATCATTAGGACATTACTGATGGAGAAATTATCCCATTTTTCAGAGAAAACACTTAGGCTAATAACCTTGGAAAGTAATGTTTTATGAGTGTGTGTGTGTCTTGTGACTAAGAGAATTGGGCAGGTTCACCCAGATGGTTGAATTAAATCAAGTTCTTAAAAAGAATTAATTCACCCAAACTGTTATATTTAGCCCTTTACTTGGTGCTCTCCAGACTAGAGGAGCTCATACAACATTGTCCCTACCTTCAAGGAGGTTATAGTCCAAATGAGAAGGCATGATGGACACAGGTGCAAGGATGATGAGCAAGTGTGACGTATGAGTAAATAGAAGAAAGCGAGCATTCCTAAAATTCAATAATAGTCTCACATACCAACAAACTGATCAGGAGAGATGTGAATTTGCCTCAGTAACTCTGTGGATCTTTTTCAAGAGCCCATATTTTGTGCTAGACATTGTGAGAAATACAAATCAGGATAAATTCCATTTGTTTCCTTTAAGAAATAATCTGTTTGAGAATCTGAAGTTGTATGATGGTAGGAATGTAATGTTACTGGCCCAGTCAAGCTGCCTCGATGGTGATGGACGCACACCTTGCTGATCATGGAGTGAGTCTTGGATGAAGTTGGTCTTAACCTGGTGTTGAAAAAAACACTAGAATTGAGACAGGAGGGGAAAGAGATTTGTCTGGAAAGGTAAGACATGGTTGTGTTCTGTATAGACAGATACAGACAAAACTGAGGATTCATTTGGGCATAGATTTAGAGAAAGAACTGGAAGGTAGGGGGGACACATAACAGGTGGCTTTGAATGGCATAAATGATGCTTTTTGTTTGAAGTTCATATTTATGATGGGGTGACAGAAGATAGAACCAGATTCATTGACAGTGATTCTTTAGACTTTTGATGAGCTTTTGGATATGTCTGAGTATGTGTGTGTGTGTGTGAAGGTTTGAGGGGATTTTTTTCCCTATGAATTTTCACATTAATCCTGTAGCCATAACACACCTATAGATCCTCTTTTGCTTTACTTCATTCTGGTCTTTATATATATTTCAGGTTGTTTTACGTAGTTCTAATCGTAGTATATCTGCCACTACGTATCCTGCCTTTTCCACTTCATCTGGTAAATGCTTTTTTACATGTAACTGTATAATCTGCTGAAGGCTTTAAGTAAGGCAAGCCTAGTGATTGCATAGTCTGTCCAATTTGGGAATGGCAGCTTTTATCAAGGTATACATTTAAATTGTGGAGGTTTTATAATGTTCAATATTAACTTGACTTACAGCGTCTGGGAAACTGGTATAGACTGCATCCGAAGATTTCCCTGAAGCTCCTTGTTCAATTAGTCAAGTGGAAATCTCATAACTAAATAGTCACCCTGAGCTTTGTTGATATCTCTCTGGGTTCAGTGGATAATATGTGACCTGTCGCAGTAAGGGAGTTTGTGGGCAGGGATGTAACCCCCAACCTAGGCAGGGAATGAGGTATATTATTCCAAGGGTTCTTACTGTGGGCTGGCCCCGCAGCTTGGACAAAGCACAGAGACAGAGAAGTCAATCAGCTGCCTGTTGGATTTGTCGAGCTCTCAAAGGCCAATTTGCTTGGATTAACAGAGGTCTGGCTTAATAAATGTGTCTGCTTGCCTAATAGATTTAGTAAATGAACCTTACAATACTTGATTTAATTTAGCATTATACCCTAGATATTGGTGGCCAACGAAGAATTCAGGAATCCTGTTGAGTGTTCCAGCTTTGCAAGGAAGGTGAAATCAGCCATGGTAGCATATCAGTTGATGAAAAACAAAGGCAATTTGGAAAACAAAATTAGCTCCTATCTCTTCCCTAGCATGGAAGCCTGTGGCCTGCCACCTGAGAACCGTGTGTTCCCATTCAGCACTATTTGGCATAACTCAGAGCCCTGTCTGATCAGATGACACACTCCCTCCCACCATAGATGGCATCCCCTTTGTCTTACTGCCCTGCACCCTTGTTTGGCTCCTGGATCTCCTAAGGAAGCAGCCCAAGGGAGAGAAGATCAAGTCTTCAGGGACAAGAAGAATTCCACTCCTCTCAAAAGAGATGCCTTTAAGAGTGCATGGGTGGCTCATTTGGTTAAGTGTCTGACTCTTGATTTCAGCTCAGGTCAGGATCTCAGAGTTGTGAGATCAAGCTCCGCACTGGGCTCTATGCTCAGTGGGGTGCCTGCTTATGATTCTCTCTTTATTTCTTGCTCTGTCCCTCCCCACCCTGCTCTCTCTCTTTCTTTCAAGTAAATAAATTAATTTTTTTAAAAAAAGTGATGCCTTTGCCTAGAAGAGTACCAACTACCCAAGTCTAAGGCTACAAAAGTGTGTGAAGAAGGGGAGGCATATGGACCAGTGAGAGATGAAGAAGATGTCATGGAATTTGTGAAGGTTTCGTGAAAAGATAACTGTTAAGGGAGAAAAACGCCTGGTGGCAAGAGGTGTGACGATGACAGCAGGGATGGCAGGAAACCAAAATGGAATATAGTCATGGTCAGAGTCATTCATGGAATCAGGAAAAATGAAATCACATTGATTATTTCTTTCATGTTTCTGTCCCAACATTTTACTATGGAAAACTTCAAACATACACTAAAGTTGAAATAATTTTACAGTGAACATCTATATACCACCTGTAGTCTGCCATTAACCTTTATTATTTTTGTTTTATCACATGTCTGGTTATCTGTCCTTCTGTCTATCCATCAGTTAATCTTAATTTTTTCACTCATTTCAAATTTTAGACACCAGTATACTTGGCGCTAAATGCTTCAGCTTGCAAATCATTAACTAGGGTTCAGTATTTCCTTACACTTTTTTCCCCATAGTGGTATCAGTGATGAAATGCGTACATCTGAAGTGTGCACTTTTTGAGTTTTGACAAAAACATTCACGTGTAACGCAAACTCTTGTCAAAATATCTATACCAAAATAAATACTACTTTCACTCCAGAAAGTTCTCTCATTGCCTTTCTCAGTCAATACTCACCCCCAATCCTCAAAATCAACCACTCCTTTTTTTTCTATCTTAGATTTGCCTGTTCTAGAACTTCATATATAAAATCATACCATATGAATTCTTTCATGTAAGCCTTCTTTCAGTTCTTATAGTTTTGGGATTTATCCATATACATACTGTTGTATATATCTTTTTTTTTTTAAACTTTTATGTTCACTGTATGGGTATACTATGGCTTGTTTATTCTTTTTCCTGTTAATGAATTCCTAGGCTATTTCCAGTTTGGGGCTGTTACGAATAAGCTTCCATGAACATTTGTTTGTGGACATATATTTTCTTTTCTCTTGACTAAATTCTCAAGACTGCAATTGCTAAGTCATAAAATATAAGATGGTACTTTTGGGGGAAAAATTATTGCAATTTCTTGTAAAACTAAACTTCTCCCTAAGTTTATATCCCACCAAAAAAACGTATGAGAGCTCTAGTTGCTCTGCATCCTTAGTCATATTTTATATTATAATTTTTAAAGAAAATTTAGCTATTCTGTTGGGTATATAGTGGCATCTCATTTTCATTCCAAAGAATATGACTAGGTAGTGAAGCAAATGAAGGTCTCCTAACAGCTAAGATTGAATGGGTTGACTAGTGGAGACTAGAAAGTTTGCCATAAGACATTCATCAATCCTGTATATTCTGATTGCTGAATAAAGTGCTCAAAGATTTTCCAACCCAGACCTTTCATTTAACAGATAAAGAACTGAGTCTCAAAATGGGAACTAAGTTTGCCAAAGGTAATTTATTACAATAGCAACTAAATAAAGCCAGAATTTCAAGTCTTTGTTCTTATTACACTAGAAATGGCAAGTCTGTGTTACACATTATTTCATTGCCATGGCCAACATTGGTATGCTGAACCCAACTTCACTTTAGCTTCCTTCTTGACCCAGGACACTAAACAGCCACTATCAGCTCATGGAAGTTGATATACATTATAGAACCTATTTGCAACTCATTCATTATTTAATTTAGAAGGCCACACCCTTGTGTGGACTGTCACTGAGCCTTAAGAATACTTGAACTCTGGGGTCCGCCCTTAGTTAAATGAAAGAGTGTTTCTCTTTCTTTCTTTTTTTTTTTCAAAACTTTATTTAAAGTTCCTGTTAGTTAACATGTAGTATAATAATGATTTTAGGAGTACAACTTACTGATTCATCCCTTACCTATAACACCCAGTGCTCAAACAAATACCTTCCTTTCTGTACTCACATGTTTCTTTCATACAGCAAACAAAGAAGAAGATATGTCACATGCTTACAGCAATGTCTCTCCTCTTGCCCAACTCCAGCTGTCAGCCTGGTCAAAAAAAAGGGAACTACAGAATTTTATTTTATTTTTAAATTCCAGTTAGTTAACATACAATGTAATATTAGTGTCAGGTGTACAATACAGTGATTCAACACTTCCATCCGTCATCCATTGTTCATCACAGCAAGTGCCCTTCTTCATCCCCATCACCTGTTTCACCCAACCCTCTCGCCACCCCCCACTCCCTACCTACTCCCTTCTGGTAACCATCAGTTGCTTCTCCGTAGTTAAGGGTCTTTGTTTGCCTCTCTCTCTCTCTTCCCCTCTTTGTTCATTTGCTTTGTTTCTTAAATTCCACATATGAATGAAACCACACGTATTTGTCTTTCTCTGACTGACTTATTTCTCTTGGCATAATACTTGTGGTGCAATGGTAGACTGTCTGACTCCAGAATTTTAAAGAAGAAATCAAATTATGTTTCAGAGGCCCAGTTGGAAATTCTGAGCTAGAAAGCAATTCTAGTCTTGCAGCAGGGACACTGTCTGAGAGCCACATCTGTGAGCCTCTGCAGGGCTCTGACACACATATCTAGACCATGTTCAGTCAGGAGAGCCTGAGTGTGCTGTGTAAGTGCTGGTCCACACGCACCCCCTTCAGGAACTGCTCTTTGCCTCCCCAACTGGCTGCCTTCTTGGCCTCTGTCCCGTGGCTGTCCTGACATGCAAAGAGGAGAGGGAGTCTGCTCATCTGTGCTTGTGACATCTCTTTGAGAGCTGCCTCAGAGCAGCTTCCTACTACTGGGTCGTACCTTGCAAAACAGCAGGAACTTGGAAGGACGCAGGCCTAAGATGACCACTGAATAATGACTCTTCAACATCAGGATCTGCATTCTTCCCTCCCAGAAGCACCTGCTTTCATCAAGTTCCGAATTCTCAGGAAAGTAATAGATTCTGTTTCTTTCTGTCCTTGGAAAACCTGTATATGTTGTGATCAGGGAAATAAAGCAGAAAAAAGAAAAAAGGAATTCAAATGGTCACAGATATGTATGTTTATTATTTTCCAACCTGTTTAAAATGTTAGAATTGCTTTGCAGTGGAAAACACAGATATAATAAAATGTCAGTGATTGGACCATGCATCCAACTAACGTGTATTCTGCTACATGAACGTAATATGCCAACGATGGGTGATACAGAAGTAAATAAAATGTGACCACCTCTCTGAAAGGTCTTACACCCCGGTGGAATACAGGAGGAAATGCAAGTGACACAGAATATTGGAGGAGAAGAGAAATAAATGATCTATTCCCAGAGCCAGCTGAAATAGGTTAAAAATGTTGCTTCTACTTTGCCCCAGGAGAAGGAAGAGGGTGACATGCAAAATCCAGAGTGTCCAATCTTATCTTCATCTTTCGGGATTACACTTTACAGTGTATTTTAAGGATATTACTATTCTTCCTGGATACTGGGTATAATCACAGTTTTTGGAAGCTACAAAAAGTCATTTTCTCTTTTCTTGTTTCAAGTTAGGATCCCTTGGGGACACACAAATACCATGCAGATTTGTGACCGTCTGAGATTTGTAAGAAAGGAAGAAAATTTGATATCCCACAGAGGACTAAATGGGTATCTTTCCTTCTTTTAGCCTCTCATCACCTTGGACAGCAGCATTTCCTTCACATTCCTGGCCGAAGGCACCAACACCATCACTGTCCAGGTAGCTGCTGGGAATGCCCTTATCCAGGACACAAAAGACATTGCTGTGCATGGTAAGCCCTGAAAATTGTTCTGTGTTGCCCCCTTCTGCCCAATCAATACCATCTGCCTACCCTTATGGCAACCCCTGACTGCTTTGAAAATTCCCCACACCAGGGGGAAATTATGTAGGTCAACAAGAGATTTCTAAACATATCTTCTACCTTGTTCCTGAATAGACACTGAGGCTGCAAGAGAAACTGGCACAGATGGGCATAGACAAGCATCTATTATTCCCTAAGATGATCCTGATGGGGCTCTCACTAGACAAGCACATATTGTAAGTTGAAGGATGCTAAGCTAGAAAGACTGTCATAGAGGCAGCTAGATCTGATGTCCTGCTGAGGTATCTACAACATGTGTGCAGCCCCAAGCCTTTGTGACCATGGGGACCAGTGATTTCAAAAGAGGAGTAATGGTTCCCTTTCCTTGTAGAACTCATAGCTAAGTTACTGAGATGAAGTCCATATAACCAATTGTTGAAAAATTCTAAATCCTTGGCTGCAAAGGCTCAAGAATAAGGCTAGGATGGGAAGGCAGAACTAGAAAAAGGAGTGGATAATAAGGCTAACATCCTGTTCTCAATCCTGGAAAACCATTCCTAATTATTAAATCTATTTTAAATCAAGTTTTGCTTCCAACACCATCTCACACAACCTCCCCCAGACCCCTAAAGCTTGCCACTATACCTGGGGCTTTCTAAAAAGTCCTCTGACTCAGAACATACTTCTTCAGCCTCAGTTCAGGTGAGCACCTTTTCCTACATCTCTGCCAATTTGATACTCTCTCATCAGGCACCTGGAGGATTTTTTTAAGCAAGCATTTTTACTAAAGTGTAAATTTAATGCAGAAGAGTACACACATAACAAGTGTTTAGTTTCATGACTTCCCACAAATTAAACAGACCTGTGGACCCACCAACTGGGTCAAGAAACTGAACATTACCCACACTCTACACACAGAATTTTGATCTAGTCCCCTGAGATGGTTTCTAGGAGGAAGGTCAGAGGAACTAAGGGGAAGACACTTGGCAAGGCCTGATTCCAACCAAGCCCAGCTTGTTAATGCTTTATCATCGGCTCTGCACGATACCGCCAACAATAGTAAATACTTTCTTCTTCTGGGGTTCATACTTACCTTTCATTTCAAATAATTTTCTTTTACCAGAAGAAGGGCTTATGATGCTAGGAATCCTACATGGTAGGAGCATAAATCCCCTTCCAGTCACCAAGCCCCACCTTCTTTCAGAAGCCAATTAAAAGGAATTGTAGCTGAGGCCACATGCAAGAGTGGATGATTTCCCTAAAGCACAGTGATTACAGCATCTGCTAGTCTGCCATCCCTCTCTCAGCCCCACTCACACACCTTCTGTCCTTGCAGAATATTTCCAGTCCCAACTATTGTCATTCTCTCCAAACTTGGATTACCACAACCCTGACATTCCTGAGTGGAGGCAAGATATTGGCAATGTCATCAAGAGAGCTCTGGTTAAAGTAAGTCGGCTTTATCTTTGCTTACATGTTAGTGTGTAAAGGAAAGAACCAAATGATCTGTTCCAGAATAAATTTTCATGGGTTAAAACCACCATTCCACAGTTACGTAAGGATTCTCTCTCTGTTAAGAGAGATAGGAATGAGGAGGGCAAGGGAAGATGGCGGTAAGGGGTGTGGGGGAGAGACAGAGAGATAGGAGGAGGGGAATTGGCCCTGTCTTTATACCGAATTTTCCTAAGACAAGAGGTGGACCTCTTTAATGAAATAATGGAGGGAGCACTCATTGAGTCTATACAGATCTCATTCACTAGGCTTGTTCTTTGCGCACCAAGAGGGTTTCTTAACCAGGTATTCAGACTCACAAGACTATTGGCTTGCTGTGAGTGTATAGCCAGTGGCTATACATGACAATCCAAAGGCTGCAGGCCAGAAAACAGAACATGCCGTCAGAGTAGTAGAGTTCTAGAGTTAACTCAAGGTAATATTGGCCTTAGAGAGCTTTGGAAGGGTTTTGTTAACGCATTGCTTAGAACAAAGTGCTAGAACATAAAGACAAATGCAACATGGGTTTTCAAATGTAGAGCTAAGTCTGACATGTGACTAGTTCTATTAAGGAGGCATGGCCAGCATTTCAAAAGAGCCTGGAGAAAAGCATAATTCACTCTATCCAGGGAAAAGCAGGCTTTGCACATTATTTGTGATTCGTTAAATACTTGTGAGCTGTTAGGATGGTCTTGCAGGGAATACTTGAGCTCGGTTTTATTTATTTATTTATTACGTTATGTTAGTCACCATACAGTACATCATTAATCTTTAATGCAGTGTTCCATGATTCATTGTTTGTGCATAACACCCAGTGCTCCATGCAATATGTGCCCTCCTTAATACCCATCACCAGGCTCACCCATCCCCCCACCCCCCTCCCCACTAAAACCCCCAGTTTGTTTCTGGGAGTCCACAGCCTCTCATGGTTTGTCTCCCCCTCTGATTTCCCCCTCTTCATTTTTCCCTTCCTTCTCCTAATGTCCTCCATGCTATTCCTTATGTTCCCCAAAAAGTGAAACTATATGATAATCAATGTTCTCTGCTTGACTTATTTCACTTAGCATAATCTCCAGTCCCATCCATGTTTATGCAAATGGTGGGTACTCATCCTTTCCGATGGCTGCATAATATTCCATTGTGTATATGGAATATATCCATTCTTTATCCATTCATCTGTTGAAGGACATCTTGACTACTTCCACAGTTTGGCTATTGTGGACATTTCTGCTATGAACATTGGGGTGCAGGTTTTCTTTTCACTACATATGTATCTTTGGGGTAAATACCCAGTAGCGCAATTTCAAGGTCATAGGGTAGCTCTATTTTTAATTTTTTGAGGAACCTCCACACTGTTTTCCAAAGTGGCTGTACCAACTTGCATTCCCAAAAACAGTGTAAGAGGGTTCCCCTTTCTCCCCAGCCTCTCCAACACTCGTTGTTTCTTGCCTTGTCAATTTTTGCCATTCTGACTGGTATAAGGGGGTATCTCAATGTGGTTTTGATTTGAATTTCCCTGATGGCTAACAAGGATGAACATTTTTTCATGTTTCTGTTAGCCATTTGTATGTCTTCTTTGGAGAAGTGTCTGTTCACATCTTTTGCCCATTTTTTTAACTTGATTATTTGTTTTTTGAGTGTTGGGTTTGAGAAGTTCTTTATAAATCTTGGATTTCAGTCCTTTGTCTGTAGTGTCATTTGAAAATATCTTCTGTCATTCTGTCAGTTGCCTCTTTGTTTTGTTGACTGTTTCCTTTGCTGTGCAGAAGCTTTCTATCTTGATGAAGTTCTAAAAGTTCATATTCACTTTTTGTTTCCCTTGCCTTTGGAGACATGTCTTGAAAGAAGTTGCTGTGGCTGATGTCAGAGAGGTTACTGCCTATGTTCTCCTCTGGGATTTTGATAGATTCCTGTCTCACATTGAGGTCTCTCATCCATTTAGTTTATCTTTGTGTCTGGTGTAAGAGAATGGTCAAGTTTTATTCTTCTGTATATAGCTGTCCAATTTTCCCAGAACCACTTACTGAAGAGACTATCGTTTTTCCATTGGGTATTTTTTCCTGATTTGTAGAAGATTATTTGACCATAGAGTTGAGGATCCATATCTGGACTCTTTTCTGTTCCATTGGTCTATGTGTCTGTTTTTGTGCCAGTACCGTGCTGTCTTGGTGATCACAGCTTGGAAATATAGCTTGAAATCAGGCAACATGATGCCTCCAGCTTTGTTTTTTTTTTTTGTTTTTTTTTTCAACATTTCCTTGGTCATTTGAGGTCTTTTCTGATTCCATACAAATTTTAGGATTGTTTGTTCCAGCACTTTGAGAAATGCCACTGGTATTTTGATCAGGATGGCATTGAACGTATAGATTGCTCTAGGCAGCAGAGACATTTTAACAATGTTTATTTTTCCGATCCATGAACATGGAATGTTTTTCCATCTTTTTGTGTCTTCAATTTCTTTCTTGAGTTTTCTGTAGTTTCTAAGGTATAGATTCTTTACCTCTTTGGTTAGGTTTATGCCAAGGTATCTTATGGTTTTTTGGTGCTATTATAAATTGAATCAATTCTCTAATTTATTTTCCTACAGTTTCATTGTTAGTGTATAAGAAAACAACTGATTTCCGTGCATTAATTTTATATTCTGCCACATTACTGAATTGCTGTATGAGTTCTAGTAATTTGGAGGTGGAGTATTTTGGGTTTTCCACATAAAGTATTGTGTCATCTGAGAAGAGAGGGAGAGTTTATCTTCTTCTTTGCCAGTTTGATTATATTTTATTTCTTTTTCTTGTCTGATTGCTGTTGCTAGGATTTCTGCCACTCTGTTGAACAAAAGTGGCAAGATTGGGCATACTTGTTGTGTCTCTGATCTTAAGAGGAAGGCTCTCAGCTTTTCCCCATTGAGAATGATATTTGCTGTGGGATTTTCATGGATGTTTTTCATGAAATTGAGGAATGTTCCCTTTATCCCTACACTTTGAAGAGTTTTAATCAGGAAAGGATGCTGTATTTTCTTAAATGTTTTTTCTGCATCAATTGAAAGAACTGTGTGGTTCTTCTCTCTATTAATGTGTTCTATCACATTGATTGATTTGCAAATGTTGAACCAGCCTTGCATTCCCAGTATAAATCCCACCTGGTCATGCTGGATAATCTTTTAATATACTATTGGATCCTACTAGCTACGATCTTCCTGAGAATTTTGGCATCCATATTCATCAGGGATATAGGTCTGAAATTCCCCTTTTTGGAAGGGTCTTTTCCTGTTTGGAATCAAGGTAATGCTGGCCTCATAGAAAGAGTCTGGAAATATTCCTTCTGTTTCTATTTTTGAAACAGCTTCAAGAGAATAGGTATTATTTATTCTTTGAATTTTTGGTAGTATTCCTGAGGGAATCAGTCAGGTCCTGGCCTCCTTGTGATCGTTCTTTTCTATCAGTTTGTCTTCTAGAGCATTAATTCTTCTGCCTCATTTACCCTAGCTGTTAGAGTATCTAGATTAGATCGTTCACTGATAGCATTTTTAAGTTCTGCCAGATCAGCTCTCACTTCTGCCCTTGGAGAATCTATGTTGCCATTAATGGTTTTCTCCAGCCTAGCTATTGGCTGCATAACTGTTACCCTGAAGTTTATTTCCGACATCTTACTTCTATCCATACACATTAGTTCTGTGGCAGAGGTCACAGTCTCTGAATTTTTCCTGTGTTGGGTGTTCCTCCTCTTAGTCATTCTGTTGAGGGGGCGTTGAGGGAATGTACAGAGTCCAAACTATTGACTACAACCTAAGCAAGATGTGCTTGTTTTATGGGGACCTTTGGGTTGTTGGCCTCTTGTTCTTCCAGCCTATCTTCTGGGGGATGGTCCTGCCATGCTGTTACTCAGGCAACCCTTTTTGGGCAGAGTTGCCCTACCTCCTCTGGGGGAGATGGCTCAGTGAAAACCGGTTTTGGGGGATTTTGTTCTCTGGTGGCTTTCCCTGGCTGGCAGCTTTCTGCATCACTTCCAAGAGTCAGAGCAGAAGTGATAGTACCCAAACTTCTGTCTCAGAACAGAGAAATCACAGTTTGTTCTCCAGAAAGCCCTCCAGGTCACACTGACTTTATTTTTGTCTGTGCTGGTAAAAAACACAGCGTCCTGGGTTGTGTGCCCCACAGCAGCTCTCCCAGCCCTTGCTTCTAGGTCCGAATATGTCTCTGCCCTTTGTGCTTCTAAAACCGCCAGCTGTCCCCAATCCACACACATGCCCCCACAGCTCCAGGATTCAGCCTGGGGGGCTGTCCTAAAGTCCTTTTCCTGCCACTGCTGGTCTTCAAGTCTGTGCCTGGTCTGCAGGATGGGACACTTTTACACTCCTGTGTTACTTTACCTTCCCAGTGCCAGCACTTATGGCAACTCCCTTTCCCTTCTGTTTGTCTTCCAATATCTGCCCACAGAATTACAGCTCTCTGCTTCACGCCTCAAAACCAAACATCGGAGATATTCTGTTTGTAGAGATCCAGATATATCTTCTTATATCTCAGGCTGATTGGTGGGTGTTCAGAGTGGTCTAATAGATATCCAGCTCAATTCAGGGAACTCGTTGAAATAGGGTCCCCTACTCTCCACCATCTTGCCCTCCTCCCTTGGAGCTCAGTTGTAAAGGATACATATGGTTAACAGAAAGGTTATGGTGTCATTCAGGTAGAATGAACAGTATGCACAAAGCCATGGACTATTGAAGGAGTACAGCATATTGGGCAAATGGCAGAGTTTAGTGTACCCAGTCTACAAGCTGTAAGGCCATTGTAGCTAGACTTGAGGAAGCATGGTTAGGGCAGCTCATGAAGCATCGGAGAAGCCTGCAGGGGTCCAACAGATACCCAGTGGGCATGGGAAGTTGGAAAAACTCTTTCTTCTTTAAGCAAAAAATGCTGACAATAGATTTATATTCAGACACCCATTCTGGTAACAGTACAGAGGATGGGCTGCAGGAGAGAAGTGAATAGGTGGGGGAGAAATTTCACAAAAGATGACCAGTTAAAACACTATTGCAGTTCTCTACACCAGAGGTAACAAAATCTTGATGAGGAAGGATTCAAAGGCTACTTGAGAAACTGAACAGTAGAATTGGTGACTAATAGTATGTAGTGGGAATAAGAGGAAGAGAATCTTTCTGATTCCAGAGCAGGGAGGAGATGGTCTTGTCCTTAGTTGGACTATGTCAGAGAAACATGCTTGAGGAGCAGTAATGGTGTGATTGATTGATTGATTGATTGGAGAGAGAGAGAGAGAGCAAGCGCATGGTGGGGGGAGGTGCAGAGGGAGGGGGACAAGCAGACTTCCCACTGAGCACGGAGCCTGACATGGGGCTCCATCTTATGACCCTGAGATCATGACCTGAGCTGAAATCCAGAGTTGGACGTTTAACTGACTAAGGCACCCAGGTACTCCAATGATGTGATTTTTTTAAAGTGAGTTTGGAATACATGAGGAACAGTTGGGTGAAAATAACCAGGGGAATTGAAAATGTGGATCTGAACGTCAAGTGGCTGTACCCTGACTGAAGGCAGAGATGTGGGAGCTGCAAGTATGGAGGTGATTAGACCCCCCCGCCAGGAGGTGGAGGGCAGGGCCACGTGACTGCTGATGCTCCCTAAGGCAGAGGGGGATGAGCCAGGGAAGGACTTCAAGAGGGAGCCGACAAAAAAGAAAAAGAAGAAGGAAAAGAGAATGATTCAAGAAAGCATTCCAGTGGGACATTGTCTACTGGATGATCTTCATCTTAAATCTTTTCACAAAAAGATTATTCATAGAAACTGATGGAAATGTGACTGCTCGTGCATCCCTGTGACTGTGAAACATCCAGAATTGTGTATATTTTGCATGATTGTGCTTATTAAAAACATACTAGCTTTTTAATAAATAACTTGGTAATTGTAATAATTATACTAATAAATAATAATCAGCCATGTCAGTTGATGCCTGGGCCTTAAATCTCACGAGGACCTGTCCCTTAAATATCCCTTCGGATGGGATTAAGTGACTCTAGACACATAGCCCCAGAGTCTCCCCAAGGTTACTAACTGATTGACACCCCCCACACACACACACTGAGGCCACTGTTCCCTGGGACGAACGGTCAGTGCAAAAATGGCACTCACAGGCTTACCCTCTGCTCTCCATTGGGTGATTATCTGTGCTTTGCCCTTTGGAATGGTCTCCAGAGACTTGCTTCCCCTGGTTGGTTAGGATGAGGGATGAGACCTTTTTGCCCCATAGACTTGAGCACAAAAACTTCCAGCTACTTGGGATCATGCCTTTTAGCAGGAAACCAAGGCATTTGGCAAAGCCAATTCTAAGGGATCCTCTGTGTTTGGTGGACTTTTCAGGTCTGAATGTTACTTATTAGTTTCCTGCAAGTTGGTACTCTCACTGTTATCACGTCCCTGTGAGCCGAGTCCCAAATAGGAAACAGAGCTGAGCCAATGGGAAACAGCCCCGCCATTTCAATTCAATCCAGCAACTCTTTATTGGGTCTCTACTCTGTGCAACCATCTTCAGAACAGTGATCTATCCACAAAGACCCCCAGGAATGTTTGAGTAAACATTCATAAGAACCTTTCAGAGAAAAGATTATATCAGCCAGATACATTCATGTCACAGTCAAGATGATCTAAGTCCTTGAAATGTGGTAGACATGGTATCTGGAAGTGCTCGGCTTGAGAGGCTTACTTGGAGGAGGTCACTGCAAGTGGCGATAGTGAGGGGAGAGTTCTTGGAGGAGGCAGAGTTTTTTTTTGGTTTTGTTTTGTTTTGTTTTGTTTTTTTGCCAAATCAGAAACCACCCTATTTGAGTTGGCACAAGAAGAGGATGTGTTCAGGAGACACTTAGGGAAGAATAAACATACTCTACAGCAGGCGGTGGGTGACTCAGCGTTTTGTTTGCTTTAGGAATTTACCTCCAGACAGAAGCTTCCTTTAAGTTTTTATCAAAAAGCAATACAATCCTTTTACTAAACGCTCAGGCATAGGAAAAAAACTCACTCATAATCTCAGCATCTTAACATAACTTTTAGTATTTTATTTGCTTTTTTACTCTTACACATTTCTATTTTTATAGGGCTGTAACCAAAGAAATGTAAGGAAATAGATCAGAATGCAGCAATCATAAGTGTTTTTCCATGTTGGCTGACTGTACTAATTATCATCATAATGGTAAAATAGCATTCTATTGGGTGATCATACCATTATTTACTTAAGTTTTTGCATATTTGAGTTTTCCCCATTTATTTGTTACTATAAATAATGTTTTTCTTCCTGTTTGTGGCTTTTTCTATATTTTGGATCATTTCCTTAGGGCAAACACCAAGTTACAGTTACTGAATGAAGGTCTGAATATTTTTATGGCCTTAAAGTAAGTCTTTTGAAAAGCAAACTGGCAATGTGCATTGATTTTTTGTGCTGCCAGCCACAAATGAGAGAGCGCTTAACTGAAGCCTCACCAGTATCAGTGATTTTAACTTAATACAAAAATCCTGCTTTAGTAAGTGAAAATTGTGCTGCTTGTCTTGTTCTTTTTTAAATTTGCATTTCCATGTTTGCTTGTAACCTCCTATTCCTTTCTCGCAGCCGGTATGTTCATGTTTTTGCCAGAAGCTCTAGTCCTCTCTGTGCAGAAAAAAAAAATGAAAAATATGGGAGGAGCTTTAGCCAGTGTTCCCAGCAAACAATATTTTAAAAACCGCTGTAGTATTTTAGTTTCGGTAAAAATGTGTGTAAAAGCCAGAGGAGGTAGTGAGACTAATCACGGCACCTCTAATGGGAAACAGAAAGGAAGCCTGGATATATCCTGGGCCCTGTATCTCCCATGTCGGGTAAGGCGGCACACACGTGAGCCTTGTACATGGGTGTATTCCGCTCCTTGTGATATACTCAGGGAGGCTGGCTTGTCCACAGCTTCACTTTGTGGTCTCTGCAGGTAACCAGTGTCCCAGAAGACCAGATCCTGGTGGCTGTGTTCCCTGGGCTCCCCACTTCAGCAGAGCTCTTCATCCTTCCCCCCAAGAACTTGACGGAGAGGAGGAAAGGCAACGAAGAGGACCTGGAACAAGTAAGCGAGAGAACGCGTGGTTGGGGTACTGCGTGCTTGTACCTCCCAGTCAAAGGGCACACAACCTCATCTCCAGCCACAAAGGGAAGGGAGCTTCCTCCCACTGGCCCAGCGGCCTGTCCGTCTTTCTGGAACCTGAGGCTGTGAGGAACAGCAGGCTTGCCCACAAGGTGCCCAGGTGCACACAGACTAGAGCATTTGGCACACAAGAAGGGAAGGCATTCCAGCAGTTGGCATTCCTGCAACTTCCTCAGGTCTCCTGCCCAGTGGCCTGCCCCTCCCCCCAGGGATAGAGGGGGGCAGACACTGGAGAGAGAGGGAGGGATTTGAGTGTCCCTGTCTATATCTGGGAAAATAGGCTTCTTGTCCTTAAAGATCCTGGTCAATCTAAGTTCCTGCTTTAGGAGAGAAAATGATCTGCTTTTAAACATGCTTCTGTGGAGAGAGAAGGACTGTTTCATCGTGTTTTGACTAAGGAACCAGCATGTCCAAAGGGACTGTGGTTTACCATCCTGATCAAATGAGCATGTAGCTCCTGTGATGGGCATGCCATCTCTGGAGTAAAGGAGCTGGTTTTCCTTCTCTCACTCCCAGCTCCTACTGGGCTCTCATGGGCGGTGCTCTGCCTCACCTTTCCCTGCCTGCCTATGACACTAAGTCAGAGAGGTAGAAAAAAGTGAGTCCGCACAAAGCACACATGCTCCCACATGAGGCAGTCATGCAGACATCTTCTGTGTCCCTTCGGTACTCACCTGGCTGTCACCTCATCCCTACGGCCGTCCACAGCCGTCCTCAGGCAGCAGAGATGCCGACACAGTCTGCTCCTCTGGAAAATGAAGCAGATAGTCATAGTGCAGGGCTGCATATCCAAGTCAGCCAGAAATAAAATCAACTTCTCAATGCATGCATCACTTTTACAAGACCTCTTTATTCTGAAATAGCAAGTGGCATGTGTGAACTATATTTGGAAGCTACAATATCCTTTCGTTTAGATAAATAGGTAATTACGGTGATGAATAGCAGCTGTGATGTTAAGGCGCGTCCAGCCAGATAAGAATTAGGGACCACAGCCCAAGTCGGCCTCGGTTTTCATGTGGGAATTACAGAGTGATTAAATCGGTGTTATGTGTTCCGCGACTTGCTGGGGAAAAGTAAAGAGGAAAAATTATCCCATAAAAAGAAGGCAGCTTCTGCCTTGATGTCTGCTCCCATTGTCTCCAAAAGAGCAAAAGCAGAGGAGTGGGCTGAGGACCTACTTCCCCACTTTAATCCTGTCAGGGGCCGCCCTATCCTGTGTGTGTACTTCATTAGATTAAAGAACCAATGATGGGTTGATGTCCTTTCATTGGAAACCACAATAGGTTGCGCTACGGTGAGTTATAAAGGCGTGGATGAGAAAGCACTGATCCAGGGACTGAATGATACATGGAGGCCTGTTATCAACTATAATTCACCTCTCTCTCTCTCACTCCACTCTCCATAAGCAATAACATATAGCGAATAATACCTACTGCTTCCTTGGCCTCGCAGGGCTCCGAGAGCTGCGAGCACCAGATGGATGAAAATGTCCCAGTATCCTGTCTCCTGATTGAACTTGGTCACTGTTTGCCTCTTGACCCTGGTTTCTAGCTCCATGAGGGAAGACTGTCTCATGGCATGTCTCCCTCTCTCTCTCTTTTTTTCCAGATTGTAGAGATGTTGTTTAATGCTCTGAACCAAAACTTGGTGCAGTTTGAGCTGAAGCCAGGGGTTCAAGTCATAGTGTATGTCACGCAGCTGACATTAGGTGAGTGCCTGCTGGGATCCAGGGGAAAATGGGGATGTGATCTGTTAGCCTGGGGAGAAAAGGGAGGAGATCATTATCAGACACTTCTCCACAAATGCCTGAAAATAGCTTTGTGGGCATGGCTTTTGTGTGTAGTGATGGTTACGAAAGATTAATCACATCTTTCTTGGGGCTTCCTGTTGTGGTAGCAAGAAGATTTCTCATTAGAAGTGGCTTTGCTATTAAATCCCTGGATGACCTTGAGGGGAAAATCTACAGTTTCCTTGGGCTTCAACTTAATTGTTTTTTGTTTGTTGTTTGTTTGTTTTTATCTGCAAGTTGGGATTATAGTGGGTAGTCCTCAGGGTCTCTTAATTTCTCCAATTCTCCAATTCCGTGAATCTTGGTTGGGAGGCCACATGAGATAACTTTAAAACTCCTTTTGATTTACAACAGATGAATCTAAATTGATACAGAGATCAGCTCTAGTGATTGATTTGTAAAAGGAATTTGAAAAGGTATGTCCCATTGGGTGTCCACTACTGGGTCTCCAGGAGTGACTATTTGCTAAATATCTATTATTAATCTAAGACTTTTCAGATTGTGGAGGTTCTAAATGTGCCCACCCAGCAGTGTTTTAGCAGAACCATGTAAAGGAAGAGAATGAAACATTGCATGACTATTGAGTCCAAAATTCCCAATGGGTAAGCCATAATTGTGTTGGCAGGCACTCAGGCCATCTAAGAGAAAGAGCACTGGAGCCCCTCTTCTACTCCCCCTAGCTAGATCCACATTACTCAGTTTACACCAGAAACAGTAGGTTTATCCAGGCAGAACAGAGGAGTTTACTTGCCCTGAGAGGCTGTGATTGAGGGTACTATCTTCATTATTGAAACCAAGCTTCCTATGCCCAGGTAGCACACAGCACAGGACTGTTGGAGACTGGATTTAAGGATGGGACATCAGCTGGCCTCCTTTCTCTGATGAGAACTTCCTCCATCTAATAGCTTCCAAATGAGCTGTCTGCTTTTTCCTCCTAGCTCCATTGGTGGACTCCAGTGCTGGCCACAGCAGCTCAGCCATGCTTATGCTCTTATCAGTGGTGTTTGTCGGCCTGGCTGTGTTCCTGATCTACAAGTTTAAAAGGTATGTGCTAATACTGCTCAATTTTGATATCAGGGCTAGATTCTTTGGAGCTGATTCTTCCTTTAGCCACCGTTCCTAAACTCATCCCACATATGTGAAATTAATTCTCTTTGAAGCTCTGTTTGGCATTGGGGGAAGGGGAAGGCAGGAATGCCTATTCTTTGAGGATTGAAGAATAAATGGGTTTAAGAATCTGAACTCTATCCAATATATAGGTATATTGAGTCAAGAAATTAAAAGATAGCCGATGAAATCAATTTATTCTCTTTAAGAGAAATGCAAAGAATTTTCAGACCTTACCTAAATTTCTAAAATAAGGTCTTAGGTTTTCAGGAGATATTTTCTACAGCTTACCACCCATTTAGGGTGGTTAAATAGAGGAAGTACAGCTGAAATCTAGTGCACACATGGACACACATGTGTGCACGTGCACGCACGTGCGCGTACGCACACACACCCACACCCACACACACACACACACATTTTCTTATCCTCTGTTGCAGCAACCTGGTCTCTCTTGTGTGAATTCGCATGCTAAAAATATTCTACCTTTATCCCTTTCCTTCTTTTTCCTATTTCCAAAGAGCAATTGATCAGGAAAACCAAACTTTGCATGTACTCAGAAATTCTGTTTGAAGGCCACAGAAGGGGTGAAATAACAGGATACTTACTAAAACATGGAACTGAAAGCAATAATTCTGGACCATTAAGGTACAGAATAAGGTCATACTGCCTTCTAGAGGTGTCCTGGTTCAGAGTATGACCTTTGCAATGAGACAGACCCCCAAGTTTAACTTGGCATTTTTAGCTTTGGGCAGTTGAATCTGTCTCCCTACGCCTTCGTCTCTTTTATGTAAAATGGAGAAAACAATACCTAATAGGCTTGCTGTGCAGTTTAAATATGGTCCCATCTGTCCCTGGTACATACTAAGTAATCAACAATGCTAAGCTATTATCGATAAGAGAGAACGTGAGTTCCCAAGGTGGCTTCTGTATCACAACACGGCACGTGGTAGGTTCTCAAAAAATCTTATGAGTGGCATGGAAATGTGCTTCATACAAAGACTGGTTAAAGTGAAAATATCATTAACCATTCTGGAAGCAAAACTTGGTCCTGGGAGTCTTTCTATACACTGAAGGCAATGCTTTTAGATTGTGAAAGGGACCCATGGTAAAGGCTGTGCTCTGCCTTCTCCCCCAGGACTCATGAGCTGCCCTCTCGTGGACAGCTCAGGCTTCAGAACACTGGTTTTCCTCAATACACATCTCCGCATTACGTAACTAGCAGGAAGCCTTCAACACCCTCCGTATCAGGACACAGAGAGGGTTACCCTCCTACTCAGTTAATAGACCAGTATGTGAGTTCATATCCTCACGGATCAAGACCTGTGAACCCACCTGCCCATTTGGCCTTTGGAGATGGGAACAAACCCTCGCATCACCAGCAGAGAACAAAGATTCCATATAGAAATGGTTTAGTCAAGGCAATGCCCATTTGTGGATGTACTTCAGTTCCATACAAAGCACACTTTAATTCAACCAAGGATTTGATTGTGGGGAAGCTCAGTGGTTGCGGGAGCTTGAAGAGCAACTAAACCAAATGTGTCACCTTCTGGCTTCTAGATCCTCATGGTTGCTGAGGATAAGGGCCAGTAAAAGTCCTACAGAAACGTATTTGTGTCAGACATCTCTAAACTAAGGCAAGGCATCCCTGAGACTTGGGAAGTTTTCTGTTCTCTTGTAAATGCTGCTAAACTCCCTAGACAGTCAATCTATTAATGTAGGCATCTTTCAGTGTGTACGCTAGATTTCTTGAATCTCTGCCGGGTAATGACATCTCTGAATTATTATTCTACCTCTGTCATTTCCCAATATCAGCCTACTCTTCCTGCATCCCTGACAGTGAATCGTGTAGCTAAGGCCACAGGGAACAAACATGACTCAAAGTGAGTAGACAGGAGAGTCCGCTAAGTACACTTACAATCATCTGTTACCTTTTCTTTCCTAAGCACATTTTGTGGAAGTCTTCTTCCCATTGCTCAAGCCCTTTGGTTGAGGTCCTGTTGGATCTTCATGTCTTCGGTCTTTTTTACCCTCCCCATCACCTGGAACTCTCGTGGTGGCTCTATGGAGGGTGCCAGGCTTGCCGATAAGTAAAGCTCAGGTTCTTATCTGTGTTTCCCAGAGGCTCCTTTGTTTCTTTAATGACTGTCCAGTAGAACTTTCTGCAGTGATGAAAATGCTCTGTAATCTATACTGTCCAATGCAGTAACCACTAGTATGACTGAGGAACTGAATTTTAAATTGTATTTAACTTAATTTAATTTAAACTTAAACATCTGCACCTGGCTAGCAAACAGGCAGAACATCTAGAGAACGCGCAGCTCTGTTTCTCTTTCCGGATCACTGGCCACGGTGAGTTTTCAGACCCAACACTTTCTTTGTGTAATCATCAGCATCTACTCATTAAACCACTTATTCACCCAACAAACATTTACTGAATGCTCACTATGTGCCAGGCACTGAAAACAATCTCAGTGCCCCAAGTGGTCAGGTAACAGGGGAAAAATAAGAGAGCTACCATGAGCCCCAAGATTCCTTTATGCAAATATCACCGTTTCTCATATTTTATCTTATTCTTGAATAGTTATTTTCTAAGTTTTAGACAAGGTAATTAGAAATCATTATGACATGGCTTTTATTATCTGAAAATTTTGCCCAACAAAACTTCCTATCTATATTGTAAATCTGTTTTTTTTTTCTTTTTCTTTCTTTTTTTTTTTTTCCTGGCTGTCCAAGAAAATTTTTGAGCTTTTACATGTTTTTCTGGCCTTTTCTTTCTCTCTTTCTTTCTTTTTTTTTTTTTTTTAGCAAGTCTTTCATTGCAGTCTGAAGCCTACTTGCTTTAGAAAAATTTAGAGAGACCTAAATTTCCTCCCACAGGCTCCTAACACTTAGAGCTGGAACAAACAAAAGCTAAAGTTTTTTTGGGCAACTCGGTTGATCCATCTTCCTTCTCTTATTAAAACATATATAAATGTGTAGGCCAAGAAATGCCCCTAAATCTCTTTATTTCCCACGTTTCTTACCAGCAAAAGTGGGGCTTAGTCTGATATTCTCCCATAGTCCTCCCAGTGCACATGTTAGGAGATGTAAAACAACTTGACAAGTTTTTAAAATGTATACATGAGGATGTAAAGTGGTATCCCTTCCACCCCTCTATGAAAAATGTTAAAGAATCTTCTGCCTGTTGTTTAGAGATTGAAATAAAGTGAACAATCTTTGTAAGGGCGGATTTATTCAAATCCTCCCAGGTATCGCTGGGAAAGCAGCAAGGGGGAGGCAGTGAACTCTGGCTACAGTTCTCAAATGCACAAACTTGTGGGATCAGGAAGAGTTTAACCACCTCTGACACCTGGTAACTATTACAGCTGATCCCACCATTCACGAGTAATATGTACTTTTATGATTAAAAGAAATCTAAGTCTGTAGGTTGCATTTCTATTTAGATGAGAGGAAAATAAGGATCAGCATGAATTTTTAATTATACATATTTGGAGAGCCTGGGATCTGCTGCCTCACATGCGATCTATTCATTTAAGGTCCTTGTAGATTGTAGATTATGTTAAGCTGGTTTAGACCAGTAGGAGTCATGAGGACACTTCTCTCAATGTATGAAAAGCAACCATTAAAGAAACAAAAACTAAATGTGAAGGAGTGGAACCACTCATGTTTCCTACCTCTTTTGGGATCTTTCATAATGAATTAGCTACAAGCAAACCTCATTGGATGCCCCATCCTGTACCTCATTGGGATTGGATTGGGGAAGGGAATGTAGAAGCTTGAAAACACCACTGGTCGTTCATAGTGGAGCAGAGTGATTCTTCTTTAGAAATGCGCAGAATGTTCTGGATTGAGGAAGGTGTCAGGTACCTTAAGTTTTAATAATACTCTTCCTAGTGATCAGCTCAAGAAATGTCTGGATTTTTCTTAAACTGATTTCCCTTTCATTTAACGGGGTAAGAGAGGTCTCTTCTAGAGATAATATTCCAAGGTAAAATTGTGGTCTTTTTGTTTGAGAATCTAGTATCTGAGAGTAGAAAGAGCACGTGTTTTGAGGTCATCTATTCATTCACTCAGAAAACACTTGCTGACTATGAACCATGTGCCAAGCACGGTGCTCAGTTGCATGTGCAGCAGAGAAGATAGAGAATATAGACGTGGCACACATGGGAAGCAAAGTCAGCAGGCTTGCCTCTGACATCATCCTTAACCCAGTATCCTATTCATTTATTCCATAAACACTGTTCCATAATTCTGTATTTTTCATAGGAGAGGTGGGGTGGCTAGGAGAGGCCTCTCAGAGCTAAGTTCTGAAGGACAAAAGGACACCATCATGAGAAGAGTAGGAGGAGGAGTGTAAAAGAGGGCACAGCTGGTTCCAAGTCTCCAAGGTGGGGACAAGTTTGATGTACTAGGTTCCTGCAACTCAAAGTTTGGGGCTCAGACCAGCAGCCTCAGCATCACCTGGGAGCTTGGCAGAAATGCAGTATTTCACCCCATCCTGTCCAGACCTATTGAGTCACAAATGCATATTAGCAAGAACTTGGGTAAGAAGCACTTCAAGTCTGAGAAGCACTAGGTGAGAGGAATTCACAGGAGACTACAGGGCTGAAACCCAGTGGGTCAGGGGATATGAAGAGGGGTCAGAAGATGAATCCTATGAGAAAATTCCAGTCTCAACTGGCTGGTCCTCCAAGTCCTCCAACCTTAAGTCTTCCTGTCTTATTTCCAAACCTAAGCCTTTGTGTCTTTGAAGGAGATTATTTAGCTTCTCTTAATCCTCGCCTTAATCCTCTCCACAATCATACAAGGAAGTTATTGTTAACTCCCATCGAGCAGATGAGGAAACTGACTACCCAGGTATTTAAGATCTTTGGCCCATAGGTGGTGTTCTGAAGATAATAGCAATGGCTAGAAGCCTTTTCTTTCTTGGTTCTTCATAAAGGAAACCAATGTGGACTGATTAAATTGATACAAACTTAGAGAAAGATTTCTTTTCACTGTGATATAACCATGTGCATCTCAAAGTCCAGCTCCTTGTAAAACTTAATAAAGGAGAAGTATTTTAAGGGTTTTAATGTATATCTGCTCAATGGCATTGCCCTTCTGTTGATGCCTGTTTGGTTTACCCCAGAAGAAGGTGCATTCCTCATGGAGTTCTGTGGTTTACATCTACCCTGGGCATCTGGTGTCTGGCCTTGTGTTTCTTGGCCTCACAGCTACAGTGTCTGGGTGACCAGCCCCTTTCCTAGATGTTGGCCTGTCCTACAAATAGCTTCTTCCTCCCCCTTATGACCCAGAATCTCCTAGTGGCCCAAGTTTGGCGTACCCTGTGATCATAATCTGATTTTTTAAAGGAAAATCCCCTGGATTAACATCTATGCTCAAGTCCAACACGACAAGGAGCAGGAGATGATTGGGTCAGTCAGCCAAAGTGAAAACGCCCCCAAAATCACACTCAGTGACTTCACCGAGCCCGAGGAACTGCTGGACAAAGAGCTGGACACCCGGGTCATAGGTATGTGTGCTGGTACCACTAAGCTCCTGTGTCCTCTGTCCTCCAAATGCGAGGGCAGTCAGCCCATCTGGCCTGTCCTCCAACTCGTGCCAGACTGGAGGGAGGGCTGGGAAACAACTGGCTACAGAGACACGATTGTGTTTTAAAATTTGGCTGCCCACTCTGGCCACGTGAAAGTGTCAGATTTTTTTTTTTTTTTTTTTTTTTTTTTTTCTCAAAAACAGACCAACATCAAAAGTGCTAGATTCGGAGTCGGGGAGGTTTGAGGCCAACTCTCCATTGCTGTTGCAATATGCGTTAGCTTGTCAGTTCTTACTGTTGTCGTCAGTGGTGTGTAAGATGACACACCATTGCTCCCACCTCATGTGCTGGTGTGGGAGGTAGCAAACTTTCAAACATAGGTGACAGAAGCCAGAGAGCTGGTAGGATAGACTAGCCAGGTGTCCCATGTAATAAAAACCTATTAAGCACCCATTCAACGTGGCCTTGGTCTATAGCAATAAATAAAACAAAGAGCCCTGCCCTTGTGAAATTGACATCCTCTTTCCATCTGTCTGTCCTCTCTCCCCTGCAGGAGGCATTGCCACCATTGCAAACAGCGAAAGCACAAAGGAGATCCCCAACTGCACTAGTGTTTAATACCAACCAGCCACATGGTCAACCATCTTTCTGACTTTATTTTTGATGATTACTATGACTATTATTATGGAAAAATGAAAATGTCTTTTTTACCTTTTGTTTACCAAGGGCCCCTTCATAGATAGCAGGCAAATGCTTAGCTTTGGGAGGCAGAAGGCATTCTTAGCTGATTAAAGTGAGACAAAAAGAACAAATGGCTGCATTTGTGCTAAGGGCAAAGGATGCATCTTCCCATGGCCTTGCTTTATTCTGCCACTGACCGTGTGAGGACTCTCTTTTTCCTTGTGGTGTCTCTTCTTCTTTTTTAATTTAATTTTTTACTTTTTTAAGTTGGGTTGGCTTCTCATTAACCTCCCATGCCCCCCTCCATATCACCCACACCCTAACCCCAGCACACACACCCTAAAACACAGAACATTTCCCAGTCAGATGTGCAGGAGGTGGGTTGGTGGGGAGTGAAAGTAGCTGCAGAAAGCGCGCACACCTTTACGAAAGAGGCCCCGCCTCATGCATGCCAATAGCGAGGCTACAGATGGCTTACTGTACATAATTAAAATGTAAATAGCTTTTTATTTCCTAAGAAATAATTTAATGTTTAGTAAAAAAGAAAACAGAAAAAAGAAAGATGCGTGTGTTGGCTTATGCACTCACCCTCAGAGCTGACCAACCCCCAGGCCTGCTAGAGGTGTTGGGTTCTGGATGCTCTCCAGTTGTCTGTCACACTTAACTCTTACATCTCTGTGTCCATCCCATAGCTGGTTTCTGCTTCTGTATATAAAGCGGGGGGAGGGCTTCTTTGGGACAAGTCGTCAAGGAAGGACTAGAGTGACATCCTAGAACATGGGGGGCTCTCTGTGCCATTGGTGATCCGGATGAAGGTGCGAGATGAAACCCACGAGAGACTTCAGACTGCAGGTGAGGAAACAAGGCTTCCCCTCCAGAAGGAAAGCGTGGAGGATGTTTATCAACCTGAGAAGATGGGTTTTCTCTAAAGAAGCTTGACTGCGGACCAGATAAGGGACAGTAATTCTTTCTGGTTGGAATCCATGGAAATGTATAATCCTTCTGAAGAATTCTGGCGCTATTTTGAGCTCAGAAAAGTCCCCTGGTCACCAGGTGAGGCCTAGTGAGTGCATCTCAGCCCAGGAGGAGTGAGGGCAGTTGGGAGGGGTGTGGCATTTGTGGCATCACAAATCTGTGTAAGCCCTTGCAGGCCAAATAGGGGGCTAGCCTTTCCTGATATTAGTCAAAGATGATTTTAGCAAAGCTGTGCTATTTGCTTGTCAGATGTACACAACTTCCTTAAAGTCAAATGTCTGCCTTCAGTTCCCTTAAGATAGTTCTTGCCTTTGGGGCGAGCGGCTTTCAAAGCCAGCCCTCCTGTTCCCAGCACCCCGGCCCCTCCGCCCATTCGCACACACCACTTCTGTTCCATAGGGTCACTCGAAGCCATGCCGTAAGCATTGTTTTCTTTTCAGGCTCAGCCTGAGTACACTTGTTTTACAAAACGATATACTGTATATATATATATGGGAGGAAAGGCTGGATTTTGTACCTGTTAACTTTGTGAGATATCATTCGCCTTCTCTGTGAGACCCTGAGAGAGTGCGACCTAGAGAAGTCTGACTGGCTACAGCATAGATCGGGATAAGGAGTGCTTCTAAAGATCCTGCTTTTTCTGTTTCAAGGGTTAAATGGGGCAGACAATTGGAATACTTGTACTAAATACTGAAATACAAATGCATGAGTCATGTCTATATATACAGTATATGTACATATACTGTTCTTGATTTTATTGTTCCATTTGAATATTTCTACTGTAAAAAAAAAAGATAGTGGTTTTGAAATTGTTGAAAATAAATGTATTTTTGTACATCAAAGCTATATACCTGGCTGAGATGTTTCTCTTTGGGCTGTTTTCTTCACCTATTGCTATCCATCAGCTATTGTTGCACTAATGCTACAGGGCCCAAACCCAAACCGAACAAATAGCTTATAACCCAGATATTTATGTTTTACTCATGGATCTCCAGGTTGGTTGTGGTTTGACCGAATGCCATCGAAACTGACCAGGCTCTCCTGAACTAGTCCAGATGCTAGGTTCAGTTGGGGTCCAGGCTTGCTTCAAAAGCTGTCATCTTCTAGTACCAGAAGCCACCCAGAGCATGGTTTTCATGGTGGATTACAGAATTCCAAGTGAGGCCAGCAGGATACTCTTTGTCTGTAAGGCCTTGGCTCAAAATGGTCATTCTGTTTACCATCATCTCCATTCTGTCGACCAGAGGAAAGCACAGGCCATGTCCAGCATCCATGGGTCAGGGAAAGGCTCTGCCTCCTCTGGTGTAAGGCACCACTAAGTTGTATGGCAATAGTGTGATAGAGGATTCCGCTCTAGCGGAGGGCATGATGTGTTGAGAACAGTAATAACAATAGTTCAATCTACTCATTCATTTTCTCTGGTCCTGTGGCTTTCATTAGGTGGTCCATTTTCAAGTTGCCCACCAACATTTGTGGCCAGGACTTCTGATCAGAAGGCCTAGTTAACACAAGGCCTTAGACTTGGTGTTGGATCCCATTGAATGATAGATAGAACTGCACCGCAGGCCTTGTATTGTAGCCTTTAGCAGGGGAAATGAAAAGAGGAGAGGGAACCAAGAAGACATGTATTCTTGTTTTTTTCACTATTATTATTATTATTATTAACCTTCTTAATACTGTTTGACTCATGAAACCAGCAATAGCGCTTATCTTGCCCGCTGCTGAGGAAGGAATTTGGAAGGATAAGTGAGTGGTTCTTCTCCACATTAGATAATAAGGGAATGTGAATAAGGGCTGTAAGTTAGATGTTTTAATCTTTTTAGTGTTCAAACTATGTAATAAATTACCATGGATCCCAGAAACCCAAGAAACCAGAGAGCTTTGGTCAATAATTTTCTCCTGTGTTTTGAACGCTAAGCTGACCATTCCAGAATCATATTTTCTGAACTCAAATAATTAAGATGTGGGATGAAACAAAGGTTTTCTTTTGAATGTATCTAAAATTAGTATTATTCTTAGTTGTAACTGTTCTTGGGTTATACCCGCCTTTTAAAAACTTATATAATTTACTTCTTCAAATATTGAGGCTGTCATTTATGGTACCCCTAAAAGAAATAGGTTTTTTTTTTTTTTTTTTGGTCTAACTAGTGGTTCGTAACATCAAGTGCTTACACATCCTGAAGGGGTGTGTAATGAGCTTCCCTGGTAATGTAACATGTCTAATATTCTGATCGCACGTCAAAAGTGTTCTAAATGCAGTAGTTGTTGCTTTCCGATGGGATCTGAGTTCTTCCCATGTTCGTTCACATCGGGGTTGATAAAAATCACTCCACTGGAATAGAAAGGACACAAGTGAAATACGTGGTAAAGCAGCATTAGTCAGCTGGTTTGTTTGGGCTAAGCCGTGGTGGGAATAGAGCCCGAGCCTCCCCCACCCGCACTGGTCTGCCGGATTTCTCGTAGCAGACAGGCAAAGGCAGAAGGCAGAGAGTATGATTGGCTTTGTGGTTATCCTCTGCCGGGTTCTCATCGGAAGGTCTTCTCTCTGGAGATTCTAAACCTGATAAGCAAGCCTGCAGCAGTCCTCGGGGTGGGGCCCAGCTATCAGCACCTGAAGCAGAGCTTCTGAGGATTCTCCTGTCAAAGTTAGAAAGTAACCGCTCTATCCGCCACTGAAATCACTCAGGGAGCGTTCCTGGGGAAAAGACACCCCCCCCTCCCCGCCCCGGCTTCCATTACCATGATACAAGGTACCTTCATCTGCAGAAGTGAGAACCACTTCCAAATTGGCTCATTTCCTCCTGGGCAACAGCTGCAGCTCTCAGAGAGCCACCCAATTGAGTTATCTGGAACAAAGACACACTGCGAGTCAAGGTGGTGATGGATTATGCCTTGGAAAGAGTAGTAAGCCAGGAGTTAGGAGATCTCTGACTTTCAGCAAATCACTCTGGACCATGATTTCTTATTTGCAAAAGGCAAACACTTTATGGCCTGCCTCACTGGCTACTTTTGATTTTCAGAGGGGCGAGGAGCACATTGCCGATTCCAGAATTGACAGATGACCACGGTAAGCATACTTAGGAGGCCTCTTTTCTTCTTCCAAAGACGGGTCAGCTGGGAGGGGGAGAGCGAAGTGACTTCCCTAAGTTAGACAGCAAATGAGTGTGGAGCTGAAGACAGAACCCATGTCTTCTTGCTATTAGGGCAGCGCTCTTTCCACCACATACCCTTCTGGACAAAGGCAAAACTGAGCCACACATCATGGAACATCAGCAGACATGTCCCCTGATGGTTATGCCAGCGTGGCTCCTGTATTTCGAGGGCCTGGAATGGTTTAGAGTCTAACTTCCCAAGTGCGTTCATCACCCAGGGGCTCACAGCCTTCCACATGTCCTTGCCCTGCTGACCCGCTTGCTTAGCAGCCCATGGCCTGACGCCCTTGCTTTCCTCACTGGGCTGAAGGAAGGCTGCTCAACAGACAGCTGCCAGACCGCAGCTTCCCATGCTGTGCTGCTTGCCTTTTAAAGCAGTTGGCCTCGTTCAGAGGGAAGAAGGCCAGAGAGCAAACATAAGCAATGGGAATGCCTCATCCTGACACACACACCAGATCCTGCCAATTTCTCTTGTCTACTCCAGCGGTACTGCCAAAAGGGACCAGATGTAGCCCGACAATGACCTCCCGAGTACTACTACATCTCTATGTCCCTTAAACTTGCTTTAATTACCATTAACTTTACAGTAGCAGAGTGCCCTTTAAAATGCTCTTTGCTTCTGTGTTCTCAGGCCGTATATCATGAAAAGATACACGTTCATTCAGAGTGGAATCAATGATACGTTGTATACAAAATCGGGAGGAGACTCAGCCAGAGTTCAGTTTATTCAGAGACTAGAAGTCTCAATAAAACTTCCATTACTTTTTCATTGTCTGAGGCCAAGAGGGGTATAATGACATAATCAGGGTC